TCATAAGATATCGAGCTATTTCATGTTGCAGAATGTAGCTATTTCCGACTTTTGATAGTATCTAATTTTCTTCTCATTTTTCTGTAGAAAACGAAGAATCATTCAACTATCTGTGGCTTTTGACCCTGATTCTGGTGCTGATGTTCATAGCTCTTCTCTTTGGCTTCCTGTACTACAAGTAACTAAACATGAGTTGCATAACTCTGCCGGTCACTTTCACATTCCTGGCTAATGGTCTTGTTCTTGGTTTTCATTTGATCACCCAGATCGTCTTTATTCTGAGAAAAGTCAGAGGAAAGGTCCAAGGGGGTTCCACCCCACTCCCCCCCCTCTCGTCACTTCACCACCTGGCAGGCAGACTAACTTTTTTCATTGTTATGAAACACGCACAAATGCGAAACACAACGTACTAAATTCCAGGTGGCTTGGGGCGGTATCCTATAATGGTCTGCCGTTGCTTCTTCTTGCAAAGCAGAAGCATTGAGTGACCAACGTTCACATAAACATTGTCTCGTCTCTACTTTCTGGAGAAAAATCGATATGTCGACAACTCGGCCCATGACATTGATACTTCCGAGTACTTCAAAAGAGACTCTCGTCAAAAAACAACAGCAATAACCACAACACTATCAAAAATAAACAAAAACGACGTGATACTTTTCATCAGTTATCCTTTCCAAGTTTTCTGGACCATAGGAGCAATAACAATTTCGTTATTTTAGGGAATGCCCTAGTTGACTAACAAGCATAACCTTTTAAATTTTAAAATTTCCTGAATGTATCTCGTTATGGATTCTTGCGACCCTTTCCTTCAGTTTATCGAGTCCAATAAGTTCATTGTTGGCTTCAATCTTTCTGTTTCAAGGAAAAAAGTTTACGAAAGGGATCTCATGAATACTTCGTGGATTATTGATTACAAGGATATTGTGTTGTGCAACCCAGGAAGCCGAATGTCGAGCAAAGTAAGTTTGTACGGCACAATTTTTCTCTTTTTTTGTTGACTTGCAGCATCCTATTTTTTCCTCTTTTATTTTCAAACCTACTAAGGCTAAGACATCGATACTTTTGGAATTCGCTAAAATATAAAACTTAATTGTGGGTATTTTTGGCTTGCGATCGCATCACACCTCTTTAGACAAGAACTACGTGATCACTTTTGAATTTAATGAGTGATTAGAAGTGTTTGTTTAATAAACATTTTTCCTACTCACACGCACAAGATACAGTTTGAAGGAGGCCAAACATTATTTTGCTTAAGTCAAATCTTCTAGTTCTGCAGGGCATTATAGAGAATATAAACAAGATAAATCGGAATATAATTGTTTTACTGTCAACTGAGGCTATTGCAGTATTTCCAGCAGCCGTTGTTTGGTCCCGTTATGAAACACGCTTTCTATGTGACCGGGAGTCGTACAACGACAAGGAAAAAAATTTTGCTGTTAATACACCGATTTCAATAAAATGGCTGCCGGTCGGACAAAGGATGGGGCGAGCACCAAAACGAGGCGTTTTAAGATGAAACCATGGCGTTTTCTGTGAACCTATACGAGTGTGATATTCCTGGTGCTTGTTTAGAAGGTCGAAAGCCATCTCTGAGGAAAATTGATGAATTAAGATTTTGGCTTAAGTGTCGGGGTGATCGTGCAAAAGGTTTGACTACAAAAGCACAACTAGTAAAACAGTAAGTTAGAGTTTTTTTAGCCCCTATTGTTTGAACTTCGATAGCTTGTAAACAAAGTCTGTTGTTTAGTCCGGATTTTTCGGTTATTTTTAGTGTGGAAGAGTATATTTCCCAAGGAAAAGATACGAATATCATTGATCCAGACCCAAACCAAATATTCACGAAGAGAAAGCTGAGCAAAGTTCGTTAAGTTCATTAAGTTCGGCGTGTTGTTGTTTTAAACGCTTGATTTCTCTTAAGGCATCGTCCTTTTCCTTACACAAAGCGGTTATTTGTCTCTGTTGTTGTTCTAAGTCCAGTTTTTAATTGATTAATTTCTTTCGTGTAGGATTCTGTTGTCGTAGTACTTTCAAACTCAACGTCCTCAACGGCACTAGCGGGAAAGGCTCTCCTCGATAGCGCTATTTGTTGTTGTTGAGTCGGTGTCCAGATTTCTTTTCAGACGCTCATCGCTCATTTACTGCTGGATCCGTCCTCAGAGAAGGAGCTGGTCGCTTTCTTGGTGATGTACGCGGCCAGCTAAACTTCGTAGGAGAGATTTCATTATGTCTTTTTAAAGACGTTTTCCCACCAAATCCTTTTTGGATGTCGCACAGTTCGAAATGGAGTGAACATACTTTCGTGTTGTTGTTCCAGTTAAAATTTTTGCCAGGATCTCTTCTGATTTTAGCAAGCCAGACCTTTTTGAGTGACGTTTCTTTCGGGAAGCTAAAGAAACCAACTTTTTCTCCGTTGAGCCCAGTAGTTCCTTTTTGAGTACAATGAATGAGGAACACAACAGTGTATGTTTGACCGCAAAGCCATATCTGTAAGGCCCGCTGAGTCCTAAAATGCCTCGTTTCAGTGCTAGCCCCATTCTTCGGCTGTGCGGCAGCCATTTTATTGAGATCGGTGTATAGATCATGGAAAAATTCAGCTCCAACAATCACAGGTTAGCTGAGTTTGAAGTTGAGCTAAGGAGCTGTGTGTCTATGTATGAGCACATCCGTTGCCTGTTGGGGTAATATGCGAGTCTTAATTTACTGTTTCTCTCTGTTTAACCATTCCAGATTAGATCCGGCCCTGCTGCCGCTGGGTCGTTCATTAGTAACGTAGGGGGTGAATATAACTTTAGCCTCACAAATGTTGGCCGATACAAGGTACGCGGGGTCGCTTAAGGTTTCATATAATGACCAGAGAAAAATCACAGTTACAAACTGTTATACCCTGAGTATCATAAGTAATGATTGAGTTTAATCGAAGAGAAAGAAAACTGGTCTATCGTGGAGTATGGAGAGATGTAATTGCAAATGTGTAATATCTTTTTACAAGAAAAAAAAATAGCTGCCATGCATTTCCTTGTAAATCACTACAGGGAGTTTGGAGTTAGATCAAGATAACGTCTACCTGAAAAGTTTGAGCGTACTCATCACTGTTTGCTGGATGATGTAGAGATATTAAAGTGCTAAGTTATTGCTTAATCACTTCTGGGACGTTAAACTGTTAAACGTTTCATTTGCTCTTTTGAAACCAAGTTTCCAAATTCTTTTCCAGGCTGAGTTAGTGGCTTTGAAACGAATAAGGAAGAACAACATAGAATTAAAAAGAGAAGTGTTTGTAGAAATGAAACAGGTATATATACTTCTTTGTCCTTCCTTAAAAAGATAGAAATTCTTTTACGTTGCGTCAGGGCGCTTTTCGGTGGCTGGAGGACGGGAAGGCTCTAAGGAGAATAAAGAGGAGTGAAGTTGGATCCCGAGCTCGTGAAGTACTTTTCCGAGAACCTTGCTGCAATTCCGTTCATTTAGGAATTATGGATAATGAATAATTATTTCCATCCTCTTTCATTCCACTTTCAAACTTAACAAACATCAAAATTTAAAATACATTCAGGTTTCGTGCTCTTCGGCAAAGAGTCATACAGTCTCATTAAATCCTAGCGTCATGTTCGTCCGCGCTTCATTTTTTAATCAAGTTTTCTCTTCCTATTTTTGCAGGTCCGCGACCTTATGCACGAAAACATCAATCAGTATGTTGGAATGTGTGTGGAATCACCAAATGTATGTATTGTCTCTATGTTCTGCAGCAGAGGAAGTCTTCAGGTAACTGTTCTAAAATGTTAAGTGAGGCATTTACTAATGTTGTATCTTCTGTTCTACAGTTTGTTGTAAACTTAACTCTAAACATTCTAAAGAAGCTACTTAGTTCTCGAAGGCCTTCGCACTGGTGTTGTCTTTAGGTTGACATGTGCAATCCATTCTGCATCCTTAAGCTTACACGTCCCTGCTTTTATTTGCTTTTCTATCAGTACTTGTTACTTAATACTACAATTTCGAAGCGACACTACCTATCACATCTAGTAAGTTTTAACACGACACAACCTGTCCTAATCTGCATCCTGAGTTGAAACTGTGAGAGTTTCAAATTTGTGACTTTTAATAAGGAATCTGAGGCCTGAGGCCATGGTTTTGCAGGTAATCAGTAATGAATCTTTATACCCACGCATTTCCACATGGTTACTACATGAATTGGTGGTTGTCCTGCTGTATAGACCGTGATTGTTTCATAACAAAATCCCTTAAAACTTTGGAAATGCTGTTTGCAGTAAATTTTAGTTCAAATTGGGCTGGATGAGCAATTCTTAAAGACGTCTTTTACCTTCTGCTAATCTTTTCAGCATTATAATTTTTTAATCATGTGCTTGTATTTCACAGGATCTTTTGGCAAACGACGATATCAAGATCGATTGGCTATTTAGGATGTCATTTGCCTATGATATAGCAAAGGTATGTAACCTTGTAAAATTAGAGAGGTTGTAGCCAGCTTTTCCTAGGGAAATTGTTACTCTTCGCTCCTACTCAAGCATGACATAGAATTGCAATTTGTTTTCTCCAGGGAATGATCGCGCTGCAAAATAGCCCGATCCATGCTCATGGAAGCCTCAAGTCATCCAAATGTTTGATTGACGGTCGGTGGGTTTGTAAAGTTTCCGATCATGGCTTGGATACAGTCAAAGCCAATCAGACAGAGGAAGAGTTAGGAGAACATGCTAAGTACAGAGGTAAGCTTATAAGTTCTTTTTCAATAAATTCAAAATTTAAAATCTTTTCTCTTATTTAAGAAATATCCTCACCGTGTAAATCATTAGTATTCAGGGAAATGATTCTACTACCCGAACAATTTACGTTTTTAAGCAATGTTGTTATGTGTCAGGTAAGAAAGTAATAACGGCTCCATTGTTTTCTCTTGTATGTAGTTAATATGAATTGACTGATTTCCCAGGAAAGAGAAACTTCACTGCGTAATACTGCACGTTTTAACGGATGCACTGGCTGTAGCTTTTTTCTCTTCTTAATTTTAGCTTGAGACGGTCGCCACTAAGCCTGTGATGTACTTTTTGTTTTCGTTCCTTTAAAAGACATTTAGATATTTTTTTCTTTTTTCCCTACAGATCTTTATTGGACTGCACCGGAATTACTACATGCAATGGATGGCACAAAAAGTCAATTTACAAAGACTCAAAAGGGCGATGTTTACAGTTATGGAATAATCCTTCACGAAATTCTTTCTAGAGACGAGCCTTATTACCAAATGGAACCAAAAGGTACAATCGATCGAAAAAATAAAGTTTCTCCCAATGAAACGAACAAATTCTTTCCTAGGCATAATATTTATTTTTAAATGCGTTCACCGGTGAAAGTGATTGATGTGGATTGATTTAGAGAAAGCAACGAGAGGGATATTTTTGCCGGATTGAGAATCGAAAGTTATCCGGGAATTTGGTGCTCCGACGCTACAATTTCTCAACCAATCAGATTGTTCCTGGTCCTCGGGCGTCGACTTGTGTTAACTCTAAGTTCTTATGATAATCAGTTGTCTCCAAAAAGTCAATTGCGATTTCTTGGATTCTGGATTCAAGCACTTGATCGGAAAGGTCTCTGATAGCAGTAGGATCCTACAATTGAAATGCGTCGATCTTCCCATCTTTACTTTTTGAAGTGCTTAAAGGTAATCTTGACGGCAACAGAGAGCACGTTACCTCCTTCTCAAAGCTGTAACGACACAAGTCTGCGATAAAGAATATGAACCAAGAGTGATTCGAGGGGTCGGGAAGGAAAAATTCCCCAAAGATATAGAGGAGGAAAAAAATATAGCTCTTCACTATTTTTATGGGAGGAATTTTTATCATTTCTAAGCTTTTATACAAAGTTTAAACATAACCTACAAAAAAACTCAAAAAAAATTTAAACATGGCACTATTTTTTCAGTCTCTGCAAAACATCTTGAAAAAAAAGGCAATATTCAAGTCAAGTCAAATACAGCGTTTTTAAACCTTGCATTCTGCTATTATTTCATTTTTAGGGTTGCGTTTCTGATCTATCGAGTAAACACATTCTACTTATTTGTTATTTCCGCTTTCCCTGGTTCTCTTCCTGTTTGACAACTCATTTCTGATATCCAAATACTCCGCTATCGACGACAAACTCCGTAATCTGATATCACCATTGTGCTGTATAGCAATCAACTCTTACAGAAAAACTAGATGGCGTGACCCAGTGCGTGACCCAGTGCGTGACCCAGTTACCTTGCAGGACCGGCGTAATTATTTTGGCATTTTTTTTAAGTCGAACGGAGGCAATCGCGAGGCGAGCGCGAAGAGGGAGTCACGAGTGAGGGTAGGAGCGAAAAAACAAATAACTTTTCCCGCTCTCTTGATCCTACCATCGCGTATGACTCACACTTCGCGTTCGCCTCGCGCGAATTCAAAACACGAAATAACACCGGTTCTGCAGGCTGTTACCCAGTTGTCATCATTTTGCAAAATATACCGATTTCTAAAGGTATTTTTCTGTTTTCATTTTTATCAGATGTCTTAGTTAAGCTACGAAAGTCTCTTGCTCCACCATTTAGACCTGAAATACCAAAGGATTTGGAAGGATGCGATGAGAAATACATCCAGCTTATGAAACTGTGTTGGGACAAAGAGCCAGCAGAGAGACCAAATTTTACTGACATTAAACTCGAACTAAGGACCATGAATGGAAGAAAGTTAGTGCCACTGATGTACAAATGTCCTAAATGTTGGTTAGTGCTGTTAGTAAGAACAAAGAAGTGGTACACAAGGCGCAGCCGAGAGTCTCACTGATTTTCCTACCACATTTCGACGTCTTCTGTGATCTTTAACTGAACAGAAGCACGGCAACAGAGAATCCATTTGTTCTATACGTAGAAAAACAAAATTTTGTTAATGGTGACGTCATTGATACATCTGTTCTCCAATAGGATATCCTGAGAACCAATCAAAATGCGCGCGTAGTTCAGCTTATCACATAAAATAAAACAGGTCACCCTTGGCAAGGCAAGGTTGCCGTCGTGATTATTTATTTCATGGAATCTCTGGTTTTCAGAAACACAGACATTGTTGATAACATGCTACAAATGATGGAGAAATACACAAACCAATTGGAAGAACTTGTCGACCAAAGAACTCGCCAGTTAGAGATTGAAAAAGCCAAAACAGAAGAGCTTCTTTACAAGATGTTACCCAAGTAAGTGTAATAATAATAATAGTAATAATAATAATAATAATAATAATAATAATAATAAAGGTATTAAGAATTATTGTGCAAACAGACGTGCAACAATTAACATGAATAGAATGAATAAGGAAAAAGAAAAGGTATTAATTATTATTGAAAAGACATCTATTAATAAAAACTGATTTAAAACGACTTGTCTGAAACTTAGGTAAAATATAATTATGCGACCTAGTTCTCAACTGCTGTGTTCTCTGGGCTGGTAAGAGATCGCTCAACGCAGTGTTGGTGGAAGAGATCCTTTGCCATAATTTCTAACTTTTAATGACCTTTTAACGACCTTTTCAAATTCAAAGGTGTAGTATCAACATTATACTTTGAAGACAAAAATTCTCAAAACACTTATGTCAAGGGTGGAAGGCAAGTAACGATTGCCGGATGGTTACTTCTGCTAGCTCTATATCCAAATGGGTTTTTATGTACTTCATCTTCGACATGATTTGAGTTTTAGGGGGGATTTTGGAGTATGAAGCTCAACCCTGCGGGCCATTTCGCCTTGGCAATCTAGGAAACTATCTTCGCAATTCCAATCCGTTCACAGGGGCCTCTCTTTTTCTTATCCCCTGAGGCTAAAGAGGACCGAAGGTCGGCCATCCTGCAGCAATTTTCGTTACAAATAAAATGCCGTTGAATGATTGAAAATGTTGTTTACTTTTTTTTTTAATAGATCCATAGCTGACGAACTGAAAACTGGAAAGCCTGTGCAGGCTGAGAGTTTTTCAAGTGTTACAATTTTCTTCAGTGACATAGTTGGCTTCACGAAGGTGGCATCCGAGAGTTCACCATTCCAGGTAAAGTTGAATAGATAATGATCGATAGCAAACCTCATTCGTATCAGTCTATTGATCTATATCTATATTCAATTTATTTCCATTTTTTGCAATATATTTAATAAGGCAAGAAATTTTCTGAAATTAATGTGGTAAAACAAAAGCAGGTAAGCTATGCTAAACTCCCCATTACGCCTTCTCTAAGAAAGTCCCTGTCTCCAATAAACTCCCCGTTTCGAAATCGTAAAGACGTATTGTACTCTCCCAAAAATAAATTCAACCAGGCAACCTTTGTGGCTGACGCAACGACCCTTTCACTGATATGCGCCTCCTATGCAAACAAAATACTTCAGCTTTCCATTCTAATCTTATTACTAATCATCCACAGTTCTCCAACTCTTAGAAGTACATGCTGACAATTGTTTCATAATCTTTCAGGTAGTGAATCTTCTGATGACAATTGTTTCATAATCTTTCAGGTAGTGAATCTTCTGAATGAGCTGTACACATGTTTTGACAACGTGATTGACAGTTATGACGTTTACAAGGTAACAAACATCCATGACTTTTACCTGTATCTATGGCAACATGTTCCGTAATGATTCTCGAAATATCTTTGACTTCCAATCCAGTCTAAGTGCTGTGAGAAGTTACTTCGAAGGAAAACTTTCTCAATTCTTGTGAATGGAGACTTTAATGGATAGATGGCTGTGCTGGAGCATATTAGTTTTGGTGGATTTCCCGTTTAGCATTCTTTGCAAAGAAAACATTGTAAAATAACCAAATTTGGCATCTTTCGGAGTACGAGGATGGCAGTAGCCAAGGTTTTAAATCTTGTTTGGTATCGGGAACCCAGTCGTTTAGCAGTCAGCTAAAAAAAGAAAATGCTTTCACCGATACCAAAACTGTATCGATCGAAATAGCTGCGTGTGATTCCTACGAATATCTCTTTGGAAACAACAAACTTTTAAAACAAAAGTCTAAATTGGTTTGACGCTTTCACCTCTATTGCTTGAGGTCTTAAATATTAAATAAATCGTAATTCACTAGGTTGAGACCATTGGAGACGCTTACATGGTTGTATCTGGACTTCCTGTTCGCAATGGTGATCGGCACGCTGGGGAAATTGCAACCATGGCGCTCAGCTTATTGAGCTCTGTCAAGGACTTCACTATTCCTCATATGAAAAACAAAAAAGTGCAGCTTCGAATCGGTATTCACACCGGTAAATATTGCAATGCCTTCTCCTTGGTAAATTCAACTCAATAAAGGTGAACCGCCGATGGGTGCAAATGTCGAGGCCTATATGACGGAGAACTGCTTCAGAGAGGATATTATTCATCCGTTTATTTATCCATTGATTCATTTATCAAGTTGAAGGTTTTTTTTTGTCGTATTTACTGATTGTTTTGTACCTCCTTAGCGACAGCAAGGTCATAAACAAAGCAAAATGCAGTTTTTATACGGTGAACTTCATATGAACGTTTGAAATGGTCAGAGAACATACGCACAAACACTACACGAAATTTCATTTCTAAGTCGTTACGGATTTTGTAGCTTACATTTTCCTCATGGCTCTTTCTGAAAACGACTATTATCTGCATGGGTCAGTTTCCAAGAATAAAACCGATAAAATTTTACAAATAAGATAAAATTTCATTTTGATTTCATGGCGAAGGTCCGTGTGTGGCTGGAGTTGTGGGCCTCAAAATGCCTCGCTACTGTTTGTTTGGAGACACTGTGAACTACGCATCAAGGATGGAGTCCAGTGGACTTGGTAAGTGCACTGTTGAACCTTTATCTCTTATGTTTTTCAATATCGTCTTGATGTTAATGGACTCATGAGCGAGGTGATATCCCTAAAATGGTATTGTGTCATCCAATTGAAATCGTTGTCCGCTTCATCAATCTTCCCAGACATGTTAAGAAACTGTCGATGCTCATGTGAAAACATCACTGCACCTAGCAGATCATCCCTCGCGGAACTGTTCTCAAAAGACAGTTTTTCAGCCGTTTTTGTCTTCAAAAGGACCATTCCGATCTCCAGTCGTGATGGTTTTCGACAGAACCCCGAGAGCGTATAAACGGATCATTTTGGGTGAATTTTGCCAATACTGGACTGCGTCATTGATTTTAAGCTAGATAAGGCATCTGACCTATACAAGAACGACAGAAACCAGGTTTAAAAACGGGTTTACAACGGGAGTAAAAAATGGCATGTTCTAGTCTGAAAGTAATAAGGTCAGGATTTAAAGAAAAGGTCTGTACATCGCTGCCAAGAATTTTCCGTTGTCCCTGTTTACATCTGATGTATTCGATAATATTTCACAGCACTTCGAATCCACGTTAGCCCAGATTGTAAATCTGTGCTGGACAGTCTTGGAGGATTCTACTTAGAGGAAAGAGGTCCAGTCACGCTGAAGGTAGGATATCAATGTCGGTTTCCTTCTTAGTAGCCATCAATACCACATCGCAATTTACCTTGTGGTTGATTTTCTCCACGAAAAACGTTGTTTTTTTTTTATGTAACTGTCCTATAGGCCACCCAAAAGGTAACCATTCAAAATCCCGATTTTCACTGTCCACTTCCAACTTCCATCTTCCAATTCATCTGTTGTTTGCAGTCTAGAAGTTGATTTTGGGACCGAAGTTCGAGAGCTCATATTGAGGGCCTAATTCGGGAACGCAATTTGCAAATATTTACATTTAAATCAACAGCAATGAATCTCCAGTCCGTATTGCATTTTGGAAACACCTTGGAGAATGCACTCTAGGAGCTCATTTTGAAAATGCAGCAATCAGATTGCTGGCTTGCCCTTTATCACCTGCCTTCCTAATAAGAGCATTGATGTTTTGCAGGGAAAAGGTACCATTATTAGCTTCTTTCTTTACGGCAAAGAAGGTTTTGACAAGCCTCTACCTGACCTCGCACAGGCCGCTTCACTCGAAGAACATGAGTTTAAATGAGACTCTTTCCAACCTGACTAGAGGAATGGAACGTACGCGGTGGTAGAGGTCGCACAAAGTGTATAAAATGTGATCCCAGTTACATAACAAGAACAGAGGTTTACTTTGACCAACAGTGGCGGTTGCGAAATGTGAATAATGAGCCGAGGGGTAAAATAATCGAACAAACCTAAAAAAGAGATGTTTTCCATGAGGTGTTTGATCGACGTTCGATATTTTCAGTATCAAAACCTGACGCTTGTCAATATTCTTCATCTACTACTTCATTTTACTGGCTCTCTTCACTTAAGGAGTGCTCCGGCTCTAACTGATGGGGAAGATCTGCGACACATTCACTAAAATTTTCTTCATAAGACAACAATAGAGCATCAACAAGAGTGAAATACTACACCGCGTGTGCACCGGGTAACTATTACACGTCATCAGCCCTGATTACATTCAGTTGCGCACTATTCAAGATGGCGGCCGCGGGAAATTCGAAGTGGCTTTAAGAACCTTCTTTGGAAAACGATAACAACTTCAGATCGGTTGGTGAGGCAATTTGTTATGCCAGATCTATTGAGGAGTACATTTGGAAATTTTTGAGCGCTATTTGTTCAAAGAGTGGAGGTTCCCTTTAAAGCATGGCAAGTGAGGGGGCAAAGAACTAACACTCACCATTTTTCCTCTGATAATTACCTCAACAACTAAACTAAGACGATTAATCGCTCTAGCGCAATAATTCCCTCGACTTCGTTTCGGGGACTATTGAAATAATTTCACTTCGTGTTCGGCGAATGAATTTTAAGTATGCATTTCAGGTTTATTACCTGTTTCGTTGTATTAATAGATAAACACAGCAGATAAACATATTATATTTTTGGGTTTAGCTTATGACAATAGGAAAGGATATTTCATTCGATCGTGAGATCATAAAATGCATCCTAGAATATTTTACTAGCGAGAAATGGATCATATAAAACTTTTTATTTATTACAAAATACTCTTTAACAACTTTTTGATTTGGTGATGAAAGGCCATTGTTGCATTAAATTGAGTTGGGTGGAAAGTTCCAAATGTAAGATATCATATGCAATAAAACTCAAGAAACTAACGACTGAATTAAGTTCTAACATACAGAATGATGAGCAACAGAAACAAAACGAAAACTAAGAGAAGGCATAGATTGGCTGGATATCAATCGATCAATTACATAAAGACAAAAAAACAAAAACAAAAAAACAGAGAATGAGGCCAAGAGAGTTGTCGATAAATCCTTCTTTTGTTTCGCCGCAATGAGTCATTTTGCATATGATTACGGAATATTTCTACCATTTTCCTTTTCTCTGCAACATATCCACAATTTTGTGTTGTATTCACGTCATAAAATCACAATTCGTTCTGCGGACATGATCTGAAAATTGCACTATAATTTTTGAAGTCATCAATAACAAGCTTCCTTTCGTGCCATCAGATCTACTAACTCAATCACGTCTTCTGTCGTTTTAAATCTATTACGTCTACCTCATAATTTTCTCTTTTATATACAAGTATTCTCCGATTAGTTCAACATTCAAAAAAAGAAAACTAATTCAAGACCTACAAAATTCATTCCTTACCACTAACACATTTTAAAGAGATAAAGCTAGTTGGCATTCGACTTAAATGGCCAGTCCTAGAGTAACATCTACTAATCAGCCTAGTGGTAGATTCTATGTGAAAACCATATTCCTAGATGTACAGTGGAGATGTTTGATCAGGGTCTCAGGGAACACAATGAAAACACTTGTACAAAAACCCTACCGTATCAACTTGAAAACAAGAAAAGAAAACTATTAAAAATGATAAAGTCGACACTTCTAAGTAAGGAAGATTACCTCATTCATGAACCCAAAATCCTTTTAGCCTGTCCAGGCTAAAAAAATCACTTGAGACGGGTACGGCAGTGTGCGAATGACCCTTGGCGACTTTTTACCGCCATTTTTTGGCTTTTCTCCTTGACCGAGAGCCTGAGCACACGCTAAACACTTTGCCTAAGGCACTGACAATGATAATTTGTTTACCAATCAAGAGTTCCGGTAAATGGTGAACAGTTATGTAATTCTTAAGACCTTGCTGTTTGATTGAGCCATTATAACATTCAATTCTCCTAACTCATTTACAAGGAAATGTACGAAAGTCAGTCGGGAGAGTAACTTACTGGATCCTTGACGTCTAGTGGTCAAATAAAATACAAACTTGAAATAATCGATCGCTAGTGCAGATAAATACCAAACAGGTAAGAAAAGAAACGAAAAGGAACGAGAATTTGCTGAGGATGCCGACTACTATAAAAGATTGTATGAGACGAACTACAAAAAAATTATGGGAAAATTTCTCAACTTCTACAAACAGTGGAGTAGCTAGCTAAAGCAGTTGCAACGCTTTCCCCAAGGAGACGACTTCGGTTTCGTTTAGGACCAACATATCTTTGTCACAAAGTCACGCACGACCTGATTAAGAGATTGCTACTGATTGCTCTTACATATAAATCATACATATTTCACTTACATTAATACCAAAGACGATCAATCGCAATATAATATATTAATAAATACTAAAAATAAATCTGGAATCTTAAAAAGAATGTGAGAAAGGCAGATGCAGGATTAGGTGGCAGTAGAGGAGCCATATAACAGCGTTAACTTTGTGCCTTGATCATAGTTGTCACGTGTAACTCCTGTAATAGCCAATAACACATGGCATGCGCTCTGTGTACGTCACGTGTTCTGCCGCTGACTTCATCTCGACGCTGACTGTGGTATTTCAAACCAACTTCTCCGTTCTATTTGTTAAGCTCGAGTTTTCTTGCAGAAATTGTTCTTCTCTTTGTCGCAGGGTTTCCGTAACAGCTAAAAGCTTTTTTAACCCCGGCTGAAATAAACGCATAAGAATACATTGTCAATCGACCCTTTTATTTCAGCTCATAAGTTGAAAAAAACCACCGTGGAATGTAGACAGCTCATGAATGACCAACTGGGGATTGGTTTCAGTTTTCAATCTTATTGGCTGAGAAGATAGCGTGGGATTTGCAAGACCAGTCACAGAGCGAAGTAAAGCAAATTCAATGCAATCCCGGATTACTTTCCACACTAAATTGAGAATTGCTTTAAAAGGGAAAAAAACGTTAAAAAAAAAAAAGCCTCCCGTGAGAGCTTGATTACCTAACTATATGTGTGGACAAGCAAACATTTGCACCACTCAGCACAACATTCACCTTAAAGAAGCGCGAGGGACATGAACCTCGAAAGTTTGGCGAACGAGCCATGCGGTCCTGCCGCCCTTCCCAGGGATAAGCAGAGCTTTTACAGTTTTTAAAAAAATCGAGGCATCCTTTGTCTGAAGGCAACAGACGAAAGCGTCGGAGGAGCATTTTTTGAGGCCTGGGACCAAACTGGTTTATGTCCTTTGAAGGAAGGTGTTTCCTGAAAATAGGTGTCCCGCGCAACAGAGGCTCTACTTTTACTTCAATATACAAGATGGAGCTAAGGGAGAACTTGTAGTGGTTGATACTAAAACCTTCCTTTTAGAAGACCTCTACTCCAGGGACATTAGACGTAGTTCCGAGTGAACAAAAAAAGAAGATTCCCTTATAAACTTTTTTTATCTGTTATCGTCAATCAAGCGGACACTTTCTCTGGTTCCGAGGTTCCACAATATTACCTGTGTTTGACTCAGCTGTTGCAGCTCTGACTTGTATGTCCAACATATATCGTGAAGAGCGGCAAGATCACGTGACGGATCTGAGGACACTTGCTCCGTAATCGGAGGAGTTTGTGTCACGCTCTGGAAAAAATTAAGTAGAAATAACATGAGGAACGTGACTCTTGAACAGGTAATGGCACCGTTGACAGTCAAACACCAAACGATATGTATTCGGTTATGGGACGGATATAAACTGTAACAGTTCATGTAAAAGTTTCTAACTTATCATGGGAAACTAACGTTTCATGAAATTAAAGTGACTTCTTAAAATTTGAAAAGTCACTTTCATTTTAGTCAGCTTCTATTTCAGTGTCATTAACGAAGTAGATCTAAAATCTTCATTATTTCCGCCTCGAACTGACAATACACTAGGGCAGTTTGAACGAAAAAGAAACAATAGAAAAAGTTTTCATCAGGTTGGAGATCTATGTAAAGAACGCTCAAGTCGGAAGATTCCTTCCCTCGTCACGCACGCGAAAAGACCATTCCCCAAACAATGTTAACGTTGTGGATTTGTCATTCCGAGTGTTACAATAAGTTGATTCTTTTGAGAAATGGCAGCACATCTTTCGCGTTTATTACCTTTACTGGAAGATTGTCTTTCCTTCTATGTACGTTAATTTCCCAGAACAGAATAATCGTTTCTTTTAAAGCCAAACACAGCCTGTTCCAAACCTCCAGTTAGTGAGACGAACCGTTACAGTGAAAAAACCAGGGAGGTTTGGGTCGGGGCTCTATGCGACGCGACTCGACCCAAACCTCCCTTGTTTGACTCTGCTGCTACAGAAATATGAACGGCGCGTTCATATTTCGCTCCGATTTACTAACTGAACGACTGGAAGAGGCGAGGACGCACACAACGTTATCCCAGAGTTACAGACGAACTGCAGACGACCTTCGAACATACGAAAAAACGAAAGCCCGCTTAAATACACAACCATTTCCTAGCGTCAATCCCGTCTATCATTAGTACGGAACTACTCAACACCGACCTTACTGGTTCAGGCAGTTCATAGAGTAAATTGGCAACAATGGAAATTTGTGGTTTATGTCAGTATTGATCTTATTGACTTACCGCCAACTCGTCCAGAAAATTTATCATTTTTTCCTTGTTTCTCAAAATGAAAGGATTTACTGGGGTCATGAACGATTCCTGTCACAGATGAAACATAGCAAACTCTGTTAGTGACATAAGAAAAAACCATTCCCGACATTTTGAGACTTTACTAACCTTAACGCCAAATTCAACCAAGTTTGCTAAGTTTTGAAGACACTTCGCGACTAGAGTCAGAGTCCGGGCAGCACACGATGACGGAGATTCTGACAAAAGAGAAAGCATACGTATAAACAATTACTTCTTTTCAAATTTCTTGAAGTAGTTCAAAGTAATAATAATAAAAAAAAAAAAAAAAAAAAAAAAAATCAAAATTCCGCTTACCTGACATCATGTTGCAAATCCTTGGGTTCATTATGGCGGGACAAATTAACCGCAGGAAGAGAAAACCACTGAAGCAAGAGAAAGAGGACAGATAAATTCATTTTAAGTAGCAGCTTCATCATAATCCATCAAACATTTTTTCTCGCGCACGATTGGTCTGAATACGTCATGTGACCGAATATGCCCCAATTTTCCAACCCTTCGCTCAGCCTTCGTTTAAAATTTAATCCAAGATAAAAGAGTGTTTTCTTCTATTACAGAAGAACGAACATATTTGTTTGTTCATTGAGTCGAACTAGAGAACACTGAAAAACGAACATCAAACGCTGTAAACGGTATGCTATTCGAACAGCGAGCTTAATTCGTCATTCCACGGACGCTCTGATAAACAACTACCAGCGTTTGAAAGTAACAAAAACAATTTGCAATCGAGACTGCACGCACTCACTCAACAGGACAACACTATGGCTTCGCCTCCACAGGAGGCAGTAACCATAAAAAGTAGATGTCACAATCACAGCAACTCATTTTATGATGATTTCATGCTATATCTACCAAAGAATGATTGTTGGAATGAACACGCCACTCAAGTGGCGACTTAGACAAATATACTGTCGCATGTTTTCTTATACGAGAGGGTATGCAATGAAATCTTCATTAGTCATATACCCCTGCTGAAACCACATGGAATATTAATCTCAAAGTATTAATTTACGCAGCTGGGGTTACAAACGTTTTTTCTCAGTTGCATCAACATAAACAAGGAAAATCGATAAATATTTGGACGTATATGTTTAAATAGCACTGCAGTCGAAACTAGATTTGCGCCACTCTAAGGCGCACCCGTCGGTCAGTTGTAACGGAAAGGGGAGTGATCAACAAATATCTAATACGGCGGACAAAGTATCAGCATACAAAACTTCTCAAGGAGTGCACGAGGATTCTCCAAAACAGCTACCAGACGCGTATCCACGACAAATAGAGGAAAACGTCCCCTTGATGGTTTACTCAACACAGCAAGCAAGTTATCCAGCTCAAAAGAAGGTTTCCCATCTCAGCAAGGCTATCCACTCCAACAAGGTCACACAACAACCGCGCCTCAGTCGAAATTAGTCGTCATTCAAGGGCAACCCAAAGGAGACAGCGTTGTCAATGCAACATAAGGTGAGTGTCCGGTGAGAGCAATTTGTCCGCATTGTCAAGTTTCGGTGGAGACTACAGTGCATCCTGTACCTGGTGTTAGAGCCTTACAGTGCTCCGTACTTCTGATTCTCCTTGGCTGCATCTGCGGTTGTTGCCTTTTCCCACTCGGTGACAAAGACTACTGCGATGTTGCGCACCGTTGTACGATTTGCAAGAGTGAACTTGGCGTCTACAAACGAGATTGATGGAGGAAACAAAGAGAAGAGGGAGTTTCAAGAAGAGGCTCAGTCTTCTGAACGCACATATGCAAAGTAAAAACCGGAGTACCTTTGTATGTATTGTGAAAAAACGTAGTTCAATTCAAACAGTTCACCTTTCTTTTTTGAGAAGCGCTTCTTATTCTTTGTTTTTCAGGCAAAACTTAGCGTAGTTTTCGCTGTTAAAACTTGTGACAGTTCGAAATTTTATTCATGGACAACGATTGAGTACTTGCTCCATTGAACATTAAGTGATTCTATATCACAGAAATCTGTTATGATAGGTAAACAGGAAGTCTGCCTCAGTATATCTCGTTGTAATTATAGGACAATGCCGGAGCGCAACAACGACAGTTTTTCAAGTAATTATAAATATCACGAATAATCAGTGTAACTTGTGTGTTTGCGTAAATGTCAGATAAGAAATAAAAATTAAACTCGCAAAGAGGAGCATAATAGTTTAAAAGCCGAAAAAAAAACTAAACAAAACAAAACAAAACACGAAAACAAGATAAAACAAGACAAAGATGAAAAACGAGGCTGCAACTAAGATTGTGATTTCTCTTGCGGTCATGTTCACCAATCGCGACTGAATAATTAAATTATAGGGATAAAGGAAAATGTCAGAAGATAATTACGCAAAGACGCTTTTGAGAGACGTACGACAACCGGAGACTTTAACTTCCAGCTTCCGTATACGTCTCGAAAACGCCTAAAAAAATGAACAACCATCTTCCTTATTCAACGACGGAGCTAAAAATTTACAATTATAATCAATGATTGAGATTTTTCTATGATTCAAATGCCATTGAATTTTGTGCACGGTCAGACCGGAACAACAACAATAGGCTTACAAAAACCCAGTTGGAAAAAATAACTCTACCACGCACAGACTAGCTTCTTTTATTCAAGCAACTACAAACTGAGGTTTAGAATGGATTAAAAGCAGAGTGCAGAACACAAAAACAAAGTCGTTTAACAAGTATTTTATCGCTAGTAACCATTCCCACTCCATTCTTTCAAGAACGACTCTAGAATGAGCAAACAAAATCATCATCTGACTTCCACAGATATAATACAGGAAGAAAGAACGATTTCCGCCTCCCTCGTGTAAAAACGAACGATGGAAAACAGAGACTTATATATGTGCGCAAAAGAATGAAATCTCTTTAAAGAAATCGACTCCTTTCTCATTTTCAAGCAGCATAGATCGAAAAATCATGCATTTAGTTAAGTTAGTGTAGAGATTTTATCCTATCATGTTTACATACCATTTCAAATTTGTTGATATATCCAAATTAATTCGTTACTCCCACCGACGCAGCCCCAAACAGTTTCTTTCGAAACTATCAGCCTTTATACATACCTTGTGTATTACTTAGTTTTATGTTTCTAATCTTTTATCTATCTACGATGATTTTATTTTATTTATTTTTATTTACAGCGCCTCACAGAATACCACTCTGCAGTGATGTGAGCGCCATGTATGAAGACTGTCATTATTGTCGCAGAGAAATCAACTGAATGCTACATTCTAATCAGGCAGCACAGGGCGAAAACCGTAACCTGTGAGCCATGGAGTAAAAAATAAATGTACATTAACTAATCCTAAAAAGCTTTTCCGTTGTGCCTACGGTCCTCCTTCTAACAGGAACTCAAACTGCCACCTTGAAAGTCCGGGCAATATTCAGCGTGCCCGAGAGCACTGCCCTCTGCATCTTTCGCAGTACGTCTGTGCTTCTGCCTCCCACCAGCTCGCGCATCATGACATCCAGCTCCCGTGACCACCCCCCGAGGGCATCCATAATGATGTTATATTGCTTCACCTCGTAGCCTGGGAACTGCTGCCTTAGTTCCCAGCGAAGGGGTCCGTACTTCAGTGTCTTCTCTTCATCCTTTCTTGTCCGATTGTTAACCCACGGGCAGCTCATTTCCAGCGTCACAACTCTCTTGCACATATGATTTACAATGCGTGCATCCACCCTATTGCATCTGACCTCTTGTTGATCAGCATATATAGGGACATCCCAATAAGCTTTAACATTCTCTGACTCATACACGGGCTTCGGCTTGTCGGGTGAGTACCAGGGTGGTATCTCGTCTATAAATCCCTCATCATACAACAGTTGGTAAAACAGTACCTTCAGTGCTGCGTCGTGTCTAGAGAGATACTTGCTCTGGGCCAGCGCACTGCATCCTGACAAGATATGTGCCACACTCTCTGGAGCCTTGCCGCATAATCTGCACCTCACCTCGCCTTCGTGCCCGCTTGTGTGGGTCTTCTGACTCGTGTATACTCGCGTTGGCAATAGCTGCTCGTATAGCTCGACGAGTCCAGCAATTGTGTGTGATGGGCAGTTCTTCCACTCTGTGAGCCACCAGAAACACCCATCGGCACTCAAACTCTCATCCTCCAGCCTGGTAGTCACTAGACGCCCTTGCCATCGTTGGTTTCTGATCTCATCTTCTAACTTCTCAATTTGGCACCTCCGCACCTCTTTCTTGATCCCTTGCGCGTGTTCCATTATTATTATTATTATTATTATTATTATTATTATTATTATTATTATTATTAAACGCTATAAGTTTCCGCATTAACTGCAAATTGTTTTCGCGCGCAACCAAAAGGTAGTAATACGCATTTTGGAAATCAAACTAAAATAAAATATATATATTTTTCCCGCAGTTACTCAGTTTGGTCACTGAGGTGGACCATGCTCGTTTTCATAAAGTCGGGTCAGCAATTCTAAATAGGGACCTTTAGCAATGACGACGAGAACGTGAACGTGACGACCGGAAGTTGGGAAAACGAACTTCGATGCTACTACGCATGCCCAATCGAGCACGACTCGTCGCCCACATCTCGTTCAGGACGCCATTTGCCGCCATTTGCCGTCTTGACGAGAACGTGAGTATGTTTTATTTGTTTTCTAATTTCTACTTACCTATCTTAGGGATTTCTTCAATCTAAAGGGTCGGTTGGGGAATAAAAACAGTGCCGAAAGTTATTTGATCGTACCGTGATGGAAAAAAACTTGATTTCTTTCGAGTTGCAGATTGAGCAAATAGCGGAAAAAGCAATGGCGTATGATGACAAAAGTGCTGCAAGGGTATGTACGTAGCCTAATAAATGCTTTTATAAATATAAATCGCGGGAATTTCGTTATAGTTTTGTAATTTATACCAGCTGACATTTTTAAGAAGATTTCTGGGCTTTGAAAAATATGTGTATGTAAACTTAGCTTAGCTCTGAATCACTCGACGTTGATTACAACACTGAAAAAAAGTTAAATTGTTTTAGTGGATAATTTTTGCATTTTCAAATTAGCAGAACATTTGACATGTTTTAGCCTACATTGATTTTCAGCCGAAGAAAATGAATAGCATAAAAACTTTAAGCTTATAAAGAAGCTTAAGTACTCAAAATTAAATTAATTTTACCATAGGATAAAGTTTATTGCAACAACACTAAGTAGATGTAATTCCTTACGTAATTAAAATTGCATTTTTTCCAGAAATGATTCCATGAAGTGGTCAGAAGAACATGACCTTATGCTTTGTAGAGAGGTTCTTCTTCTTGAACCATTTAAGCACCCAAGACAAAGTAAAGAGAGAGGGAAAATCTGGGGTGAAATAGCACTAAGCTTAAATGGCATCAGTTCGCCGAATTTCAAAGTTAGTAAGCGTTCTGTGAGGGACCGGCTTACTCTTTTGCTTGCCAAATACAAAGAGAAGATGACAAAGGAAGAGCAAGGTTCTGGCATTGCATGTGATGATGAAACAGAAATAGAGATAGCATTGTCTGAAATCATAGAAAAAGAACAGGCAGCTGATTTAGAAAGGAAAGAAAATTCAAATACCCTTACTAAAAAGAATGAGAATGATAAGGCCTCTGCAGAAGAAAGTAGATTAAAAGCCATGGAGCGCCTGGGACAAACCAGAAAGAGGAATGCTGATACAAGTTGTGATGATGTTAGTCAAAGAAAAAGCAGAAGTAGTATTACTGAAGCTGTGCAAATCCTGAAAGAGAAGATCGAGAATGAGAGAGAAATCCGGAAAGAAGAAATTGAACTGAAGAAGAAAGAGCAAGAAAATAAAGCCGCCCAGCATCAGATGCTTATAGATCAGCAGAGACAGAACCAGCAACAATACCAGGATGTATTGAGAATCATGGCTGAACAGCAGCACAGGCAGGAACAACAGCAGCAAAATTTTCAAATGCTTTTCTTGCAACAGCAACAGCAACAGCAACAAAGTCAAATGCTCATGGATTTGCTGGAAAAAGTCGTGCCCAAATCCTCATGAAGGAAAGGTGAAAAAGCAGTCAAGAAAAGCAAAGCAAATTGGGCAGGAGACTTGCACACTTCATCCCTTGCGATAATGTTGTGTTTATCATTTTGTTAAGTGTCGGTGCTTAGAGGGATTTTTGTGACAAAACCTGGTGAGCTTGTTAGTTAACAAAGTTGATATTTCTTGTTCTTGACTAGGAAAGTTGTGTTGCTTTTTTGCAGGAAAAAAAACAGGATTTTTTTTATTTTCCTTGGGACATAGAATGTTTACAGTTATCAAAGATATATATTTGAAGTTAAAGTAAGTTAAGTGAACCTTTTCACTCCTATATTGTATGGGTTGGCAAGTTAAGAATTGAAAAGATAAACATTCCAAGTTTCATTTTGCTAAAATACACTGACAAAAATTGAAACAGCAGGACGGGAAAGTATCTCTGGATAGCTTTTAATTGGAATAACAATTATTAATTAACATGATTGCATTCCAGGTTTTTAATATGTTATACTGGAGTTTTGACATTGGAGCTGTCATTTAGGGTTTTAGGGACTCAATGTGAAGATACCCTCCATTCTGTTACAATTAAAGAATGAAATTGAGGTACAGAAATTATTCATCTTGAAATTACATTAGACATCTGCTTTTTGAGTGCTTTCTTGGCAAATCAGAATGTTATTGCTGTGTGTTCCTGGGATATTTAACCATATTTTCTGGGAGGGGAGGGGGTGGGGGAACTTCACATGTTTATAACATTACTGTTTGTTAAGATATGATAGTTTATGCTGAGCCGGCAATGGACTTGTTATCATTGGTTGAGTTCCAAATTTTCTGAGATTTAAGTGGAAACATTCTTATGTGACAATTTCATGTCTTTGCGACTTGGCATTTCCATGGCAACAAAGCTTTGGCCAAATTTTAACATTTTGTGTTTTATCTACCTCTTTTCCACATATTTTAGCTAGTGGTATTACCGTAAAGGCATGTTATGGCATTACGAAGCAGTGCGCAGACAACGTACATTTTGCCTACACTGCTAAGTCCGATTTTCAAATTCTTTTTGTAGTCAAGAAATTTAAACGAATTAATGACATCCCCGAAAAGCCATTCCACTGAAATCCTTAAAGCACTCATAGCTTCGTTATAATCCTGCATAAGGGGTGCAAGTGGGACATGGCGAAACGGGGTTTGAAGGTGCACACGGAGAGGGTACGCTACATCTCCATATATGCACATTGGTTGACCTACTGGAGAAAAAGCATGCCGTTGGAGGTCACGTAATACTCCAGAATCTGCTTGCATCCCTGCATCGTGTTAACGCCCCTCTAAAACGAAGAAAACAAAAATCAAAGGTGAGAATAGAAGTTGCTTAGAAAGTTTATCTAACTAAAAACCATAAGTACTTTCTGTTAAAAAAACTCACCAACTGGTCCATATAAATTTCCAATGAGTCCATTTGGTACAGACAACGATTGGAATTTCAAGGCATGAACCCTCTTATGACCATTGTAAACAATTCTATGACGTTCATCAGGTCTTGAAATGGGTCTGACAGTCCCGTACACGAAACCGAAGCAATTGTCAAGGGGGGCTCCTTGTCCTGATATGGCATTTGCATAACGCTGTAAAGCTCCACGGCTCAGGAGATCTTGATTCCACTGGGTTATAAGGTGCCCATGAACGTCATAGATGTAGTCGATCACATCATTTGTGATCAGACTTATTACAGAAACTGGTCGGCCAAATCGCGGAATCATATGGGTAAGCCGGCATGGGTAGGCAACTCTTTTGAGAAGCATACATAGCCCTTCTATGTCGTCACAAATACTTCTCTGTTCACATCTCAACACCGGTGGTAGTTGGAGTGCTGCAACCAGGCGAGGTAGGTCTTGCTTCTCGACACGAAACTCTGCTTTGCATTCAGCGGAGTTCATAGAATCCAGGTCGAATCGCTCGTAGTTTCCATGAGGAAATTCGGGATTTTTTGTTTTGAAAGTATCGTAGAGCAGTAAAAACTCTTCATCAGAAACAATGTTCTCGCCGTAAAGAAGAATAAGCAGGTCACGAAATTCTTTAAAAGACATTTTCCTATTGACTGCCACAAAAAGCTGCAGTAAAGGACTCGTCCACGCAACCGATGTGCTAAAGTAGTTATGTTTCCCGCCGTGGACGACGGTCCCGTCCCAGGCCTAAATCGGTCATATACGTCGTCGTCCACGTTCTCGTCGTCAGTGCTAAGGGTCCCTAATCAAGCAATATGGACGAATCAGGAAAAAAAACCGGGGAAAATTCGGACGGACATCAGAAAACGATATTCGGGGACGGTGGACGTTAGACGGCGTACGAGGAGTGGCCGATAGACTACGACCGATTTCGGAAAGCCGATAGCCCATTGCCAATGGCGAAAGATGGATAGCAAAAAAAAAATCCTTTTTCCCTTGGTTGTCTCATTTGCTTCCTATCCACAAAGTTTTAAACAAGGTCACCGAAAGCAAGGGAAATGTCTAATTATAACATTAAACATAGCTGCAGTACGCCATCAAAACAACGAATGGTGGAACACTTACCTAACAACACGGCTTCTAACTATTTCATTGTCGGACCATCTATCTTTGACATTTTGTTGCAGACAGCAAAACAGGTAACGCAAAGTTCTGCAAGGTTAAAAGCTGCTAATTCAGATCCACTGCGGAGCCACTCCTGTTAACTATATTTAACTATTCAAGGGTATTATGGAATCACACGTTCACACTGGAAGATGGTTTCCTAACAGTATAGGCGAGATCAGAAGAGGCCGATGATGAGTGATCAACGAGATTTTGGAAGTCTGGAATGCAACCTTAATTTTTGGTATATCCTCTCAAATCTAGACAAGACCTTAGATCTGAAATCATTAAATATTTATACGTATGATGCACGATCCTCGCAGTAGAGAGCGCTATTTGTGTAATAGCGAAAATCAGACCTGAAAAAAAAATCAGGCCTCTACGGGAATCGAACCACTGACCTCTGCGATACTAGTGCAGCGCTCTACCAATTGAGCTAACAAGCCAACTGGGAGCAGGCCGTTAAGTTGATTCGTAATAAACCCGTGATGATAAATCACGATAATAAATATATGAACTTCATATATTCATTTTATCTTAAATATTTATGTTGCGCACGACCATTCATCAAAACTACAATATTGTGGACACTTTTCTTTACGAATTTGTCAACAGGTTTGACGAAGAATGCACCTATACTAACAAGAAGGATACAAGTTTAGAGAGAGAGAGACTGAGACTAACAAGTAAGATTGTTTCAATAGCAGCTTCCTCACCTTGGACAATCTTCAGGTGACCTGACAATCGCATCAACTCCTTCAAATAAAAACTCCAGGAGTTGTTTAAGATTTACTACAGTGTCTGCACCTTTTTCGAGTTTAGCTGGATTTAACTGCAACGCAATGAAAAAAAAAAAACAACAACAACAACAAACAAACAATTAACATAAATACCTTAAGCACCAACTACAACATTTAACAAGATAAATAGAACCTCTCTTTTGGGACGCTAGTCGTACCTCGCAAGACTGTTTACAATCCACAATTTTTGCTACGACATCACCAATTGTTTTCTGTAGATAGGGAATAGCGACCATTTTCATGTACTGGTCCATGAGTGTTGTGGTTAACGAAGTTCCGCGAAACAACGTTGATACTTCCTCTGCAATCAACAGACAGAGCAGCTGCATTACTGCGATACCCGTAAAAATCAGGTAATTGTTGGGAGTTTAAGTAAACGGCGAACGGCAAAAAGTGAACTTCTTTTTGTTAGTCTTAGGTCGTTTTTACACTTAAGTCGGAAACATGTTTGTGTTGATTGTCAACGAGATTTTTTCGGTATTTGGTATTTCTTGGATTATTTTTGTAACGCGTTGATTCAAGAATTGTACAAAACGTGACTAAACTCTGACTAAAATTTGGCCTTTTGCTGTAGCCGCAGACGTCGCGATCAAACTCACTTATGTCGTTGTGATCCTCTTAAATTAACAAAAGATACGACAAGAAGGGGAGGGGTGAGGCGAGTTAGGGCACGAACTGTATTGTGAAAAATATGTAGGTTAGATTGCCCTTGATTCTATAGCACTTAAAAGCGTTTAGGTCCAACTAAAAATTTATTGTGGCTGACGTTAGTTTTCGTTCGTGACTATCATGCAGTAATAGTTTTTAAAAATTTTTTTATCTCTTTTCATCGCTCACATTCAAAAAAAAAAAAAAGAAACACTACTCACCTTGGTTTTCTATTTCCAATGAGTTCATCGTTTTTAGCAGGAAGATTTCTTCCCTTTCATGGCGGAATATTTTAAGCAAAGTGGAGGCCAGGCTCACTCGGTCCTTGCAAACCTGACCAAGACTCTTCACAGCTTGTAAATCCTTGTCCAGAATGATCTACAGGAGATGAACATGTCAATGTGTAAAATACTAAACGGCTGCCCAATGGTTTAGCCTATACGATCCAACGCTGAACCCCCTGTTTGGTATGGGGGTTTAGGGGCAAATTTAAAAATAAGTTGATCCATTTGATTTACATGGATCTAACGAGGAGCTTTCTCAGAATTTAGAGGCAATATTGACATACCGCGAGAACCGTTTCCCGTTTGTTCGCTCATCTTCTTTTAAAGTAAAATCAGTGGATACCTCGACATTTCAGCGGTTATCATCCAAATTTTTTAGCTCAACTATCCCTTCTCGCCTTCAACTCCTGTTCAAAGCCGCTTTTCCTAAAAACAATCCCGCTCTATAACTTAGAGCCTTCGTGGGGGGATTCGTAAATTCACATGAAAAAACCTAATGCATTGCACGCCAATATACACAACAAAAATTTTGCTCTCATTATAGAATGCTATGATCGACATAGTCACCTCCTTGAGTGAATTATACTCTTCTACCGGCATAATAATCTCATGCTGCAAAACAAAGTTCAAAGGGTTTCAGTTTTCTCATCGGAACTGTAAAGTTACATTTAAGTCAACTCACTGAGCTAATTCTGTTTAAAAATAAGCAGAACGGATTGGCTATGTCAGTCAGTTTCTCAACTGTCTTCCTGATCGTGATACACTTTCATAAGAATCGATGAAACTATTAAAAAACATACATGGTTAGGGATTGGTTGTCATTTATCGCCGGTGAGGTGGGGGTGGGGGGGTAGGGGTGGAGGATTTTGGGGAATCACATGCTTTTTAAGGGAAACGGAAGGGGGATCAGTCATCATTAAGAGATTATGAAGTGGGACTATAGACAATTGACTGCAACTGAGGGGGGGAGGCACTAGGATAGTACAACGCTTCACGGGGGATCAAGTAGATTTTACTGTGACACAAAAAATCCTTCGGACTCCCCCCACCCCCCCACCTTATCATTAAACATCAAATTATTCAATTCAATTCAGTCCGGCTAATCAATCCTGGCTACTGGTAAACGCCATTAAAATTTGGAAGGTATCCTACGCTCGGTTATCTGATCCGTCAAGTTAAGAAATCCTCAAGGTAGAGCTGATTATGAAGTGGGGACTATAGACAATTGAATGCAAATGAGGGGTGGGGGGCATTAGGATAGTCCAACACCCCACGGGAGGAACTGATAGATTTTACTGCGACACATAAATTCCTACGTTCGGTTAAATGGTAAATTTCTCACCGTGAATTTACTGCGGACACGAACGCTGCCAACCTCCAATTTGGAGTGAGACGCCGAAAGAAGTGGGTACCACTCATCTAGCATATTCCCTTTGGGTAAACGGTTAAGTGGGACCATAGCACTTCCTGTTGACAACAGAACGCGACAAATCAAAATCCATTAAAATTAAATTTGGCTCTCAGTGTGATAAACGCACCAATAGGCTGACGTCTTGTGGGAGGTTACCCCAGAGTAATGAAAAATTGAACAGAAAAAATAATAGCTGTCCTGAAAGCTTTAAGTTAGGCTCAATGACCAGCTACTGTTGTTATGTAGCACGGTACCTACCTACTAGGACATCTTTGGAGCGTTTGTTGCGATTGTAAAGATCGACTGAATAATAGGAAACATCGGAGGGCAAGTCACTAAAGTCAAAACAAAAACTGTTAGTACAACAGTCAATTGATAATTCACCACACGCGGACATTGCCTTGTACCTTTATACCCGTGCCATCTATAATGAGTAGTAATTATGATTAAAAAGGCGGTTAATTGGTTTTGCAATTCGGGACAAACTTAAGGGCATCATTCAAAATTATGGATTGGGTATAAACAATCTTTTTTTGACAGTGAATTCACAATTACAAACACTGCAGAAACATATACCATTAAACCTAATTTTAATAAGGTAACTACCGTTACATGTCTACGTATGCTAAATCATTGCGATGAAACGCCCGGAAAGCATGCGATGAATAAAAACCCTAAATACAATTTTATTAATTACTCACTTGAACTTAAATTCTTCGTTCCATATGGGCGAATGACACTCCTGTGTCTTCGAGCGGCAGGTTTTGACTTCGTTCAAGGAAATCATGCAGTAAGGGTGAGAAACTTTGTTGGAATTCAATTTGTGGGCCTCTACAAGAGTAACTTCTAAGCTTCGTAACTGCTTCACATCCCTCTCGCCAAGGTTGGTGATCATTGGTTTGCCACAAAACTTCTTAATCGCCTCCATCCAATCCTAAAAATTCAGCAATAAAGTCATTTAAAAATGGCGCATCTCAAGTGAAAGTAAAGAGAGAGAATAAAACACAAAAACGTCACCGACTGAAACAATAAGAACCAGGGAAAAAAACTATATTACCTTTAGACACGAGAGAGATTTCTTTACCTGACATTGGTTGTTCGATAGGTGGACAACACTGTCCATTAGATAAACCGCTATCCACGGGTAGCGTAGTTTGTTCTATAAATGGCTATCAGGGAATGGCGATTTATTTGATCGTTTGCGTTATATATCGAACAACCCATACCTGCGTGCCACGAAATGCACGCCGCTACTGCCTCCAATTTCGTGACACAAAAACAGCGCATGCGAAAATACTTTCGTGAAACTAAACGCTCACCAAATGTTTCATCTTTCGCCCTGTTACTTCGAAATTCTATTTCAAAATCCAGCAGAAAGTTCAAAGTTTCGTTCCAACGACTTCAAAATATCTGGTAAAATTTTCACGAGAATAAAGTTGCAGTAGAAGACGCAAAGAAAGCCTTACATTAGCTAGATCCTGTGTGTCGGCGCAAAGGTAGAACATCCGAGACTCATTAAACGCTCGCACCACCACTTGAAAGCAATTTGGCCTTTACGAAAAAGAAACAGAACATAAAAAGAGACATTAATCGATAATTTGAGCCTCACTACTTACCGCGATTATTTGCGTGGTGAGAATAGCTTCCAAGGAAAAGGGAAATTACATGGATTTTTGCTCAATATTTAATGCGCAATTGCTTACGTCAGCAAGACTATATGGAGTGTGAATGACCCAGTGAGTTTCTCGCAAAACCGAAATCCTACTCCAAACCCACTACTTTGCGATACAAAAATTGAGAACTCTGTGCGTTAGCTCTTGTAAATTACTTGTAAATAGTTTGCCTGGTGAGAATATCTTCCAAGGAAATTAGAAATGACATGGATCTTTGTGCAATATTTCTTGCGCAATCGTTTTGTTTTGCAGAACTATATTGCGCTGCAAAACCGAAAACTCTCAGTAAATTTTTATAAATCATCTTTTCCCTAAAGCAAGCTCCAGTGAAAAAAGACTAATTAAATAACTTACCCGCCATTTTTGCGATACACAAATTGAGAGGTTTGTGCGTTAGCACTTGAAAATTAAGATGTTTGATCAGTTCTCACAGCGCAGACGCAAAGATGATGTTCACAATTTTTCAAGAGACTGATGGGCTTTGTTTTACGGTACACATGTGCGCCCGTTCAGATGAAGATAAAAGAAGATGAAAAAAGCGCCGAGAGCATTAGTGATACACTCGCCTAGGGCTGACGTGCTACTTAAAGTTTGTTGGCACCATATTTTAAGATAAACTTTTTATCAAAGCTGGACAATGCACTGATTGGAGGGCACACAAGGAAACAAGCGAGGAACAAGCGGAGAGCTATAGGTAAACCAAAAAATAAAACAATGGTGAAATTATTTCGTTTCTCACCTGCCAAAAAAGCTTTGATGAACCTCGTAAACCATAGAGAAGCTAAGATCCATCATGCCTTTGGGTTTAGTTCTCTGAGAATGATAAACAAGCCGAGTCAGAGGGATCGAGGAATTTTCAGAGTAATAACCTATAATGAGATTGTACTTGACAAGATCTTGTCCTTATTATCATTATTATTATTAATATCATCAATACCATCATTGTAATAACATTTATTATTATCATTATTATGCCTGAGCAAACGCCTTAGTGCGGATCTGTTTCTGAAATGTCAGTTTTACTGCTTTGAAGTTTAATTCAATTTTCGTGATTTAGTTCTGAGTTCTCCTCATAAAAGTGGCTTAAATCGCACAAAAGTGGATCATTTTTATCATAATAATGGACTATTCTTGGGACAACCGAGAATCATATTGGGCAACTGTTTTGTTAGCAGTGCTGCTGGAAAGTAAAGGATATTATGTTTTTCTTGTTGCTTGCATGACTTACTTGGTAGTTTTTACTTGTTTGCGTGTTTGGAATAGTTTTCTTTTTCCCCCTTTACCTTTAAAATCCATTTTCAGTTCGAATGACAGTTGGGGGTTTTGTTAAAAAAAAAAAAATTCAGTTCAGACCTTTTCATTTTCAAAGAAATACAAATGCTGTTCATCTCCATCAAGAACGAAGAACATTCGCTTCCATTTGTTACGATGTCCTTAAAAGAAAAATAACAACATTAAAATACCTACTGTGAAAATGAAAACCTGACAGGACTCGCCCTGAGTCGACATATTGCATACGTCATATGCATTCCTAGTCAGCATTTACTGTCCTTCAGCACATGCATTCCTAGTCAGCATTTACTGTCCTTCAGCACATTTGTTTCTTTTGGTTTCATTACTGTAGTCTTTCTAAATATTGTTTGGCTTTTGGGTTTAATGATACACGGAAATTAAGCGACGATCATAAACTTCATAGCCTTTTTTTAACCATTGAATTGATTGTGCATGTCGCTGCCGAAATTACACTGGTCTATTTAACCAATTTACTACACTCTCTCTCGGTTTGCTGGCGAAATGACCCAAGCAGGATGTTGGGAGAACGCGAGAAATGTTTGTAAATCACAAGCCGGAAAAGTCAATTGGTCGATCAAAAGTTACAAAAGCAAAACAAAAAGGTACCTTTCTTGACTAAAAATCCCCTCTTGAAGGCAGGCTGAGTTCGATTTAAAATAACTGGTCCTGGTCTGAGCGCGAATGACGAGCCATTTCTCTGCTCCACTATCCTGCTCGGCGTCATGGGTCTGTGTGGAAGATCCCAGTCCTGCACCTGGAACCAAGCCGAAATACAATTAAACAGCCATAATTCTAAGGCCTGCTGAGTAAGTCTTATAATTTCCTCTTCAAGTCTCTCCTTCGCCTAAAGACTTTTCAGTCTTCTTTTTTCAGTTTTCTTCTCAGATAATTTTGTTTTAATAACTGAGATGATGATGTAAACTGGCCACCGTAAGGACTTTATAAAGCTGACGTGTCTAGAATTGGTCCTTCGTCAGCCCTATCATGCTCTCGCAAAAAACCTTGAAAACTGTTCTTGATGTCTTAACATCATCACAAACCCAAAAGATTCGCTAGACAGAAAAAAAACATTTCGATGAACTCTTGACAACAACTGAGGCCATAGGTGTACAACTTTGGGCGTGACGAAGCCGCGCATGCTCGATGAGCTCTTAGTGGGTTCATCTGTCGCTCGGTTCAGAAGAAACCAGTTGTTCAGGATGTTTTTTTTCTTGAGGAAGAGAACTGAACTTTAAATCAGACCTTGAATTTTGCTCCAACTACATTCATGAATTACGCACGAATAAGAGCAAAACGTCTACATCTGCGCACGGTTCTGATGGCACGATCCAAACACCGAATGCCAGCCAATGTTGTGCTGGAAACACTCGTAGTACATTTGTGATAAAATTTAACCCAACCAGTAAAACCGAATTAGGAACTATACGTCGATATACAGAGACTAATACACGTCCTGTTTGAATTATTTACACATGCAAAACGCACGAAAACCTGCTTAAATAACATTTCTCTTCGTGAAACTCACAAAAGCTGCTAGCACTGAATAGGCTGTTCAGTAACTTCCAAATGGATCACTCGATCGACAAGCCAACAATACTTGAAAACACAACAAATAAAAGAAACTACGAATAATTGGGTCTCACTTATATATACAACGATTTCCTTGTGTTATCTTCTTTCCACCCTTAGCCACATTTCGAGGTCAAAAGCAAACTCTCAGACACAAAATGAAAGATAGAAAAGCTCACGAAAATTCAACCATGTGTTCAGGAAATGCAGAAATAGCTGAAGGCTTTCTTGTGAGGGTTGTCCGAGAGACTTTCACAACAATTCTTAGACAAAACAATCCCACTCGCAAAACAGGAAACAGTGCGGAAAAAAAAAAAAAAAAAAGAGTCTATTCGTAAATGAAAAACAAAAAGGAGAGTTTTTAAGTTTAAAATATACTATAAAGTGGATAACTGAACAATTCAAAACTCCAAGTCTTTTTTCATCATGAACACGATTCCCACGCAGACTCTTATTTGCGCTAAAACACGAGCGGCGAAGCCCGTGAGCGGTCTGGCGTCAACAATAACAGCCTGCGAGGACCTAAAACAGCAGTGTAATTGATGGATAAGTATTCTGCACATACAAAGGACCCAGTTAGCCACAGCATGAAAAAAAACTTAAAAACTTACCCTAGACACAGGCTCCTTTAAAGAAAGGTTCTCCACAATGTATTCACGCTTGTATCTTGCTACTACAGCATCGATACTAAAACGAACGGAATAAACAGTATACTTTTCTGAACACAAACCGTACATATTCAGCTTCGTTTAAATGCAGTTTCACCCCAGACTTAAGTATTCGCAATGGAGATTGCAAGAATATCACTGTATAATTCAATACCCACCATGAGATCGTCTAAATATCCTTTTCCCAACGGAAAAACTGTGTTTGTGTTATGAAATCCCCCAGAAAAATGTAACCAAAATAGTAAGAGATAAAAGGTGACCCAATCGTTAGTCTGCCCCTTCAGTTCTCTTTAGTTTACTGACGTATCATTTGAAGAATTGTTTTTGGTCTATATAAATAGCGCCTTAATGCATTTACGTACTGCTTCTCGAAACTCACTCGAGACTGCCAGGTTGTCACTTTCCAAAACAGACAAATGTCCCAACTTTATTGCCTGACGTTAAGTCGTGAAGTTCATAAGTTAATTTGGGGAATTAATTAAGCAATACTCTACGAAATCATGGAAAGTACACTGGATGAAAAGCATCGTGCAGAAAAATTTCTGAAACAAAGTACCAGGCGATAAACCCCTAATTTGATGTCCATCCCCCTGACTCAAACGAAGGGAAAACATTTATATCGGGAATACGAGATGGAAATTTGAAACCGACTGATGTTTTAAGCTAAAAGAGTAAGAAAATCAACTTAAGCAAAAACATTTAAACTTGAAAAGCTTTTTATGCTCCATTGAAGAGCAGACTTGTTTTATGTTTTGCATTGGAACGATCATCAGTGTTGAAAATCAAGAGGCTAAAAAAATAACTTGGAATAATATCCTCGGCTGAATTAGTGCTCTAAAGTTTTAACAATTGCCCTCGATGCTTTGCCGATCACAGCCAACTTAAAAAAAATATCTTAAATACACCACCCGATGTAGGGATATCTTTACCACATCACTCGTACACAGGGTTCATTTTCCCATATTTCATTGCGTTAGTTAAATTTTTTTCCTCTAGTGAGTTTCTTTCGGTTTGTAATGCACATAACAAAGACAGAACTAGGGTATGGCAACAACAAAAGTGAAGAATAAAATCTCCATTTTAGCTCGCAATATACGCCACAATGCCCAACAAATTGATAATAATGGAAAGTAATCATTATGCTACATAAATAGAAACGCGTTATCTTAAAAGACACCATTTCATCGCCTAACCAGCATTGCTCAGCAGCTCAGCAGTCACAGTGACTCTACATCGTGCGACAAACATGTCTTTGATCACATATCATTAATAGAACGATTCAAAAGTTTACCTGTCAAAATTTCTCCCTCCCAAAGAATACTGCATTCCTTGCTTCCTAATCAGGAAGCGAGTGATACCATCCGATCCTCTATAAAACATTAAACATTTTTAGAAAAAAATACCTAAAAAACAGGAATTATAAGACAGCTGTGACAAGCCTGGTTCAGGCATTAAACACCTTGAGAATTGAAGTGCCACTTGTTCAAACAAAGTTCAACTTAGACTGCTGTTTTCACAATAAATGGACTGTCAGATTTCTCTTTAGATAGGTTATCCGAAGAAATTTTTAGTTTTTCTCCAATGTTGGCTTCGACATTTACACCCTGACATAAGTATTAATATTCTCCAACACCGTTCTCTTCACGTTTTCAACGGAAATAACAAGGAGAATTTGCTTAACCATCAGGAGCTTCTTGAATTGGTGATCATTTACTTACCACAATCTCTGGCTGAATTAGACACTACAACGAAAATTTTACAACAGGCACAAGCACTGTCAGGCGTAAAAGAAGTAAATTACTTTGTAATCTTTCTCACCTGAGAGAGAGGGAATAATCTCCTGGAGATTTATCACTTGGCCTTATGAGAAAACTCCCAATAACACCATCTATTAAATTGAAAACACCAAAAGAATTTTGAAGTGCTTAACATCTGGTGGAAAAATAGATGTGATTGCCTGATGGGCAGAGAGGTATGGAACCTAGACATAACTAAGTCTGTATTGTTTTCGTGAGCAAGACAATTTACTCTCATGATGCTGTTTTCCACCCAGGAGTAAAACTGGATATGTGCAAACTGTTCACTATAATGTGATAGATTAAACTTGTTCAAGTGGTGGCAAAAACAATGTCATTTTTATTATTCCTTGTGATGGTATTTTAACTGACAACATGGACTAAGTCTTGGAGTGTGGTGCTTACTTGTAGTTTCTGTAGGAGAATTTATGAAGAGATTTTGGGAGTAAAAATGCTAAGGCTGCTTGGATGGGATGCAAGTCCATCCCAGGTTACCTTCCAGCATTTCAACAAGCTTTCATGAAAGTTTGCCACCACATGTTTTTCTCCTGCTTGAAAGAGGCACTTTGAGAGTAAAGTGTATTTTTATCACAATGTACAATAATGTCTCAATCTGATTGGCCAATTTGCCATCGTTGATAAGAGTACAGACAACGCTGCTTACATCAACATGTCATGCACAGTGTCACTCACTGAAAGAATTGTTTTATTTGACATGACATTGGGGTAAAAAAACAAATTGACAGTGGTTTGTTGTTGATTTGTTGCGGACTCACGAGGCACAGCCGAGTGAGTCCACAACATTTTGACCACTGTGATGACAAATTCTGTTGTTGATAAGAGGACAGACCATGCTAAACTACTGTCAATTTGTTAACTAGCTGCTAAGAGCAAAACATAATGCCCTGGGCAGGGTTTGCACCTGATTCCCATAAAGTAGACGAGTTAGTGATGGCTTAACAAACACAAAGAAACAAAGTATACAAAAGTAAACGTATATCAACCATAACAATACAGAAAGAAAAGTAACATAAGGATTAATTGTCAAAGAAGTTACCTCTGTAAAGAATCTCATGTGCTTCTTCTCTTGAAATATTTCCAAAGAACCACCTTAACAAAAAAAAAATGCATACATAATTTTATTAATATAATAAGATGAAATTGACTGGTTCTCACTTAAGACGATCTGTAGGAGGAAAGACACTGATGACATCACTATTAACAGCATTTTGCTGTGCCATGTGTCACTTTTTTGTCCTTACCACATTTTGATCTATTACACTTCTATGATCTATTACACTGCGACAAGGAATCTTTTTGTTAAATGGTTACATTTACAAATTGCAAATAGCCACAACGACAAGATCAAATGAGGCAGAAGAGAGAACTTACGGCTTTCCTGCACAAGGATCAAGATCTGTTTTCTGGAATAACAAAAAGAGGAAAAATATTACTAGCACAAAAAAAAAAATCATCACTGGTTTGATGCATAATAGTTGAGTGTTTGGTCCATGCCTTTTTGCTAGGAAACAAAAGAAATAATTTTGACTCACACCATTGCTTCATTATGTGGTGAACTTAGAAAAACACTGATTTGAACTGAGAAATATTATTTTCAAGAATAATTTCAATCATTTGCAAGTTTTGCCATTTGTTGCTCATTAAAAAAACTCAAGCCCAAGCCTCTCAGTTGGGAGACTAGCTTGGGCAGCTGATTGTGTCAGGCTTTTAAAGTGAAACTGCCTCTCTAGCTATGAAACTGAAATGCTTATCAACTCACAGCATCCTCCACAAGGGCAGCAGGCACCAAGCCTGTTTCCCTGTTTTTCTGGGCTGTCACCCAGAGCCAGTCACTGTCAATAACATCATCAACCACAAACACATCTCCCTGGAAGAAACTTACAAAGCAAAAAAAAATTCGATGCAATTACTAAAGAAAGCAGAATGGCTAAAAGGATGCTTCCAGTTCATGCCACTCCACTAGGCGAAGTGAATTTGTTGTTTACCTCTAAAATGTCCAATCAGATTCACTTTCTTGCAATTTTTTTGTTCACCTGATTTGATCTAGCCTGCAAAGCAAGCCCTGGGGGAGAATAGGGGGGGATTGGGGCGAGCGGAATGTGCGGAGGGAAGAGGGAGGGCTTGCCCAGACCCCCACTAACCAACAAAATTTCCGATCTCGTATGGACGAAAAATTCCCATTGGCTGAGAGCAACATGTCAATCAACGATCGAACTAAACAGTCTTCATGGCGACTACCTTTTAGAAAATGGTGGACAACGGCGATTTCGAGAAGTTCTGCCCTCAAGAATCGATGTCGGAGCAGAATATTCGTGGCAGCCATCCACTTGTTCAAGCTCAGGGCCTTGATAAGAATGGCGTCTTCATTCTCAAACTTCAATTAACCACAACACTGCAAAGCCGATGGACGTTGGATCCAAATCATCAATGTTTAAATTTGTATCCATCGCTGAAGTTGAGGGTTGTCCTTTAGTTGGCGAGTCAAACAACGCTTCCCTGCTAGATGTAGGTTTTGCATGTGCCGGGAAGCGGACACGCAAGCTCTTTCTACCTGGACCTTTTCCTGTCAGTGTTGAGAACTTTCGTTTCGACAAAACATCACGGGAATCCGAACATTGAGAAGCGGCCTTATTCAACAATTCATAAAACTAGCAAAAACTGTTAGTTTTTCTTGCACAAGGAAGGTATATAATATGTATGTGCGACTTATTTTCGAAGTGAAAACTGACCGTTCGAAGGCGATCGGTGAAGAAACACTGAAATTCTTCCCTTTGACTCTGATTAAAAAAGTTTACAAAACTCTTGAAGCCACTTTCAAATTTAATTCTTAAATCCACTCCACAAAACCGGCAAACTACGTCTTCTGGATTAACTTTTGGCTTTCTCCCTCTCTTAGATTTTGATACCAGATTCTCTTGTCGTCCGACATTTTTCACTCACGTGGAGCAAGTTTTAGTTGTTGTTTTGACAGTTTGCATGGTTCAATGAGCTCTCGTTAATGGCGCTTTCTGATTGGTTAATTTTAAGAGGCAATTTGAATATATAAACAAAGTTGAAATGGTAAATTGGCCACCGTTACGATTATAAAAGCTGACATTTCGAGCATTAGCCCTTCGTCGGAGCGAATAGAGGAATTGTGGGTTGTGTGTGCTTTTAAAGGCATTTTCTGCCAATTTATCATTTCAACTTTGTTGATATATTCAAATTATTCCTTTACCCCCATCGACGCAGCCCCAAACAGTTTCTTTAGAAACTATCAGCCTTTATTAATTTTAAGAGGCGCTGATTGACATATGCAAGACGATACCAATATGAAAATAGGGGGCGTTTCGTTGGTTAGTGGGGGTCCGTGGCAAGCCATCCCTCTCCCCTCCGCACATTCTGCTCACCCCAATCCCCCTCCTTTCCCCCAGGGTTTGCTTCGCAGGCAAGATTTGATCCATTTCCATTACTTATTAACTGTGATTATACCTCTTACTAACTAAGTTTGAAGTCCATGCTGTAAGTTACTGACTAAGGTTTCTTGCTTGGATCCATGGCCCAAACATAAACAATACTGGGCCATAAAGCTAGGTGGAAAAAAAAGTGAGGTTCTGTAACTTACAGCAAGGACAAAGAAAACGAGATTTGTAAGAAGTCCATAACATTCATGGATTAAAGTAGGGGAGACGATTTTAATTCAAACAAACTTTTTTAATTTAGCAGGCTGCACAGTGATAGATGGTCTGCTAAATTAATCATTCACAGCATCGTATAACTGAGAGAGTGACGGTAATCTGGCTGGGGTAAAAAGACATCAAACAATCACAAAATTTCAGTGCTGCTTGCAAATTTCAAACCTCTGGTGAGACCCTACCTAAGTTCATCTGTATCTGGCACTTTGCTGTAAGTGTACTTGGCTATCACTCTTTTCTTGACAAGAACTGGTTCTGGAGGTGGAACAGGAAATTTCAGGTGTTCATCCTTTAGTAAACAAGACCATGCTGTGTAGTAACCAATGAGATCATTCAGAGAACAGAACTGTCGTCCCCCAATATAATAGTCTCCGCACACGCCTGTTACACGGAAGTGACTGATGCCATTTTGACCAAGATAAGAGAGAGAATATGTCCCTGGCCGTCGATCACTTTCACGCACAAGATATGAGCCAACTTGTCCATTGTTCATGAGCCTCTTTTCAGCGTCTCCTCTGTCAAGCTTTCCATGAAACCATCTGAGACAAGGAGAGTGGAAATTTAAAGAAAAATTCATTACTGACAGTTCCTTTTTGTGTTGTTAAAAAATCCAATGAAGACTTGTCAACTCAATGGTGCTTGAGTATGGACCAAGGAGTTATAGCATTTTTGGTTTTAAAGATCTCTGACTACTTCCCCAAATTTCCAGTAACATCTAAAAATTCTTAAAAAAATAACAAAAGATTTTCAAGGTCTACATGATGATCTTTGAATCTGATGAAAGGATATATGGCATTTATATTTATTGCATTTATATTTCTTGAAATACTAGTTTTCCTTCCTTAAAATTAATTTTATTGACAAGTAACACCTGTCAAAGATGATAACTTGTTTACGTAACCCTTTAACTTCCATGAGTGACCAAGACAAAATTTCTCCTCTACAACATCAATATAACATCAAGGAGATAAGTGATGAGAATACAGAAAAATATCAATAAGGAGAGTGTTAGTTAAAAGAATACCAAATTCTCTAGACTCACATCAGAAAAAATTTATAGCAGACAGTAAGGAGAATTAACAGGAAGATCTTGGGAGTGAAAGAATTTAAGAAAAAGGGAGGGAAGACATATTGTGGTCTAGTGAAGGCAAATAACTATTTGCAACTATGGAACAACCCTATCACCTTAAAAATTACCTGAAGGCAAGGCTAGTAACTGAAATGATTTGAAAATGTTCTCCTCTGAATATACAAAAGGGTTGAGGACAAGAGATGATTGGGAGAATATCATGGTTTGGGTACTTAAAACTTAAAACAACTGTCATCCTTGGTAACTTTCATGTGCAAACTGTATGAGGTCATGTAAGGTAAAACTGGTTACTGTTGATTGGTTTTTGAAAAACCTAATTAAGATTATGACAACAAAGTCTAGTGGAGCTCTGTGAATCCAAATCCAAAACGACTTCTTTAATATACTTTGGCCATAAAAATGACCAGGATTGTGATCTTGCACCAGTGATTTATATAAAGTGTACATAAGTATAAATTTTTACACACAAGTATAACATGTTTTTTCTCCTCTCTCTCCTTGGTACCTTTAGGGGCTGTTGATAACCAATCATTATCAAGCGTTTTGTCACAGTTTTGATTAACCTCGTAATCAGCTTTTGTTATACTTGAAATGTGGGTGAATATAAATAACACTTAATTTTCTTCTTTTAGTAATTTACGTACGCACAGGATGGGAACACACTTTTTCGATGAGCAGTTTCTAAAGTTTAAGATTCGAACATGGAGGGGACGAAACCACGGCAAACTAAGCCCCGTAATAATAGTGATATCTTGTTTGAGCAGAGCACACTGCTAGCGAAAACGAATTATTTCTCAACTGACATTTAATCAATCGCTCGCTTTCATGTGAAGCATCCCTAAATTGATTATGGATTATCAATTATTATGTAATTCAGAAAATGGAAGTAATTTTCCATGATTTTTCTCTTGTGAATACTAACTGGCCAAGCGCGTTCTTTAGTTAAGATTCATCAAGTAACAGCAGGAAATGAAGCATCGGCTCTGATTTCTATTTTCATTAATTACCGCAGAGTTTGGGGAAGTTCACTCCTTCAGCCGATAAATAATAAATGTCATTTTGAAAAAATGCAGAATAGTCATGTAAGATCCTTCCTCGATTATGTGGTTAAGGTTTTGTCTGAAAGTCACGGAATTTTTTCAAAAGTACCTCAGAATACAGAATTAGAAACATAAACACTGACAGCTTAACGACATAACTTGTGAATCATGAACTGTACGAGAGAACTTACTGATCGTCTGATGGAGCGTGAATACCAAGGTCTATTTCTTCTTCTTCTTCTGGACACGGGTCTGGGTCGTCTTCAAAATGGTCATCTGGCTCGTTTTCATTGATCAAATTCACTTCAGAGCCAGAAGAACAAAAGCGATCCCTGAACGCCATATTTTCCTCTCTCTTTCTCTTCAGCAGTGCGCGCGGGCTCAAAAATAATTTCGCAATAAATCACGCTGGGGGGAGGGAGGGGCGGGGGCACAACACAGTCAAAACTAACCTTTGCCTCAAGCTCCTTTTACAGTTGAGACTTGAAGAATTCGCTCGATGGCATCCTTAGTTATTGGAGCAAGTGACAGTGAAATTTCTGCACTACGCAAAAAATTGATGGTGGGGGCTCGGGGAAGAAGTCTAGCTGGCCGTTTTACCCCTGGGAATCTTCAAGATCGATTTTTATGCCCAAGTATATTCACAGGTCACCCAAGCTCTTTCACAGGCTCTTTCACAGTGGATACGGTATCTTGTGCACGGTGACTCGGTGGCGATTAGGGCGTCAACCTAAAACACATCAAAACGGCCTCAAATCCTTTATTTTTCTAATGGCGTTAAACTTAATTTAACATAATCAACCACTACCCACAAATAACATAGCTAGTCTCGGCGGGCAGTGTGTGGACGCTAAAACATCTTACATAGATTTCGGTTCAACAAAAGATTAAATAAATATACAAGAAACAGAAATTAAATATTAAATCATTAATTTAAAAGCAGAAATGACAGTATGAGATAAAATTACAGAAATAGAAACACATGAGAATAAATAGAAGAATACATAAGTTATACACTATTATTAACTGGATTAACTTTTGACACATAATTGATTATTCGTTCTACGTCAACATAACTGTCTTGAACTTGAAGATTTTGAAATAAAATTGTTGTTAGCTTTTTCTTGAAAATATCTTTTGGAAGATTCCTAAGTTTCCTTGGATGCTATTCCAAATTTTACAACCAATCCTTGAGAATGAGTTTTTATGTTGATTTAGCCAAGAATAGTTTATGTAATAGTTACCGCAAGGAGAACATGTATGTAATAGTTATCGCGAAGAGAACAATACAGACTACTCTCTATAAAGGTAAGACTTTATTTCTTTGACTATTTCACACAACTTTGCATTTACGGAGCTCAAAGGCGAGTCCAACTAAACCACTATACAAACTCTTTAATAATCCACTTTGAAAGAGCCTTTGGCAGAGCTTGGGCGACATGTGATTAATCCACTCGCGAAAGCCCCACCCACTGGCAGAAAAAGAATGCACCTGGCTGTATAAAAGATTTCGTTCCCGCTTTCAACAATATGATTACATTTCAGAAATACCCTCCGAACTACCACTGTGTTCATACACTTCTGTGTTGCGTAAATCACACATCATTAGACGGCTAAAGAGTGCCGTCAGACGTTTACCAGTTTTTCGCGACAGGCAAGCAGATTTGTCCACTCATATTGGAAATTTTGTAATTCTTGAACAGAATTTTTCAAGATAAATTGTACTGTTCAGGTGGAAGAAACGATATATAACACGGGAAACTCTTTTACAGTTGATTCCTCAGAAAAAAAGTTATCGAACAATTTATTTTAAACTTTCTTTAAATGTTACCTACCAATGTCTGTTCGGGACAAAATACAATAAAAAAGATAGGTCACCCTGCTTGGTTAAGAAGTATAATAAGCCAATCTTACCCCATTTATGCCTGTACTGGCACTATTCACGCGCGTCATTTCATCGGTTCACGGTACATTTTGCAGTAGCTGCAAGCAAAGGTTTTCAAAGTAAAATTTGAAAAAAACTTGATAGGTAGAAGTCTCGAGCTTATGGAACAACTTGATGTATAAATTGTGGAAAAATTACGCAATTTCAAATAACATCAACTCAAAACGTTCCTTGAATCGCTGCTTTCAAGGTCATACTTTGCATCATCAAGAACGAAGGTATTATTTAGTCACGTGACTAAAAAGATGTTGGCACAAAAGGCAAACGCACATGATAACATTCCTTCGCATTTCTTTGCCCGCGCTTTTTCTGTATGTCGTCGTTCATCCGCTTTCGTTTGGTAATACATGATCCAGCTAAGTATTCTTTATCTCTTTTCAGCTAAAATCGAATCGATACCACACATCTTAGGCTATCGTCTACGCTTTTACCTCGAATATAAGACCTTCTTTGTTTGTTTATGGAAAAGCACGTTATCGTTCGATTCTTGGAAATGTGAAGGAATGCGATCACGTGCACTTACGTTTGAGGCGTCAGGGATAGATCATGTGGGCTTAATTCAAATATGTTTCTCTCCAGGAGCAACTGTTTCGCGCGTTTCCGAAAAGACAGTCTACCTGTTTAGGTGGTATTCGCCTGATTACGCTATTTTTCATGCGCAGTATAGGATGCACAATGAAATACTGAAAAATCACCTTGAGAAAGTCCTTTCTATTTATGAATTGACTACTATGCTGGTCAGTTTCGACAAATTTTTCTTCATTTCGGATATGTTTTGTTTTTTTGTTTTTTTTTATCTAACTTGGTAAAATGGATAACTGCACCTTTCAAACATGCCATCCTAAAAGATAATGAACTCAGAACAGTTGGATTCGCTCGCGAATCCTATTATACTAATTGCACTCTTGTTTGATTGCAGGTATTGAAGGGAAAATAATTTACGTAAGGTTAGTTCTAAAACGTCAATGTTTCATTCAAGCAAAAAATCACTAATTTACTATTTGGTAGTAAAATTGCCTTCAATGGTAGTATCAGCTGCGGCTTATGACCGATAAATTTTGAATCTTTCACAAAATATATGCGACTGGGTGTGACTAGAATTACTTTGTTAATGTCGAGTCCTCAAAGCCGCTTGACGGTCCGAGACAAAAAATTGTGCGTGGAAAGAGTTCTCCAGCGTTGAATCCCTCAGTAAATAAAGAATTATAAGATCAAAGTAAAATACTATTTACAACAAACTTGCATGTACAAAATTCCCCAAATTCTGGCCGGAAGGGAAAAAGAAAAAGAATTTAGATTTTCAAGTGTGCAGCTTAAGTCGTTTTCTTAATGGGCGAGCAATCGGTTCCTCCTGATCATCAGTGTAGGACACCGTCATACCAGCTTCTCTGTTATTGGACACATCAATAAGCTCTCTACGATTGCGCTTTGAATAATTTTGAGACAGATTGGAGCAACTTCGAGCTCGAGGTGAAAGTGCAAGTGAATGGTTACTGCCAAGAAGTATGGGAGATTCTTGCAAAACTTTGATACTGCTCGCCGATATAGGGGTCTTGTTCAAATGTCGACGTATCAGACGAGAGGCTAACATTCCGGGACTCTGAAAAACTTCGTCATCTTCTTCGTAGCTGGTGTCGCTGTTTCGAGAAGAATCAACGTTTTTGCTCCTAGTTTTTTTTACACTCTCTTTTCTGGTGCGTTTTCCCCCAAAGACAACAGACTTGTGAATTCGTCGCTTCTTAGTCGCAGGTGACTTTTGAGTCTCGTTTGAATTTGCTACACTACAATCAAGTTCTTCCTCCATTTCACTAAGCCAGTCATCTGCCTCCTCGGACAACCTAGTTTTGTCCTCAACTACCGAACAAGGTTCATTGACCAAGCTGAACTTCACCTTGTTCCCATTCTTAAAATGGGTCCTTGGTGCACACGACGATGCATCACGTGCGTATATTTCACAGGCTTCCCTCGCACATTTGTCAGCTGGAGAGGCTGAGAAACACCTTTTTCGCTTTTGCTGTCGAAGTATCTGGTTAAGGGGACTCAAGCGTTTGGTTTCAGCCGGTGAATTAGACACACCGTGTGATTTCTTTTTTCTTCTTTTGGGAGGTGGAGTCGAGCTCTGCAGAGCTGGATTCCATGGTAATTGCGCTCCTCCAACAGATGCGCTTGGCATGCGAAGAAATATTTCGTCTTCTTGGAAATTGGTGTGTCGTGTGATCCTTTCTGCTCCCTCTGTGGGAGTTAAGTCATTGAGGCGTTTATCACTTTCATTTGTTAGCGTCTTATTATATCTAAACAACTCTGCTCCTTGGCTTTCAATATCAGTGGATTTGTTATCGAGTATCGGAGATTTTGCTCTCAATCTGTGCTCAATCGTAGCAACACGAGCAGACTTTGGGGTGGTTTGTGACGATGACTGAAGTGACTTAATGTCGGTATCAAAAGCCACTTTCGCGTTTTCTGAATCCGAACCAATCACAGTTACCATTTTTTCTCCTGATCGCAAGTGGACTGGAGATTTTGAGAGGGTCCTCATTGGAGTGAGAAGCACCACACAGTCGTCCGGATGGGAAACTCTGACCGGGGTGGTGGGATCCGTCAAATCAGTTCGAGTCGACTTTAGTGAGACCGTAACAGTGGGTTTAAAGTCTTCATGGTTACATAAAAATTGCTTTGGCGTTTGTTGAGAATTGTCACTGCTGTCGCATCTGCACAGCAATCTCGGGGAGCTTCGGAGAGCGGGTTTGATGCGGTTCCTCGCGGGCGTTCTTACATTTTCGTCAACATCCTGAACAGAGCTCTCCAGTTTTGTCGATTCTTCACCATCTCGATGCGAAAGGCGAGATGAACACGAAGAGAAGTTTTCGAGAACCTCTGGAGGAACATGCAAGGGAGACTTCAAGGATTTTCGAATTGGCGTAAGAAGAACAACACATTTGTCCACATGGTAATCTTTCAATGGAGTTCGCTTTTCAGGCTGTGCCAAGGTCGATTTTGAAGAAGTCACTTCGTTGTCTGAAAAATTATCTATTTTTTCTTTCATGGGCGTTTTCATGGAGCCTTTTAGCGAGACCGTACAATTTGTATTATCACATGACCTGGGTCTTGCGCCAAGCGGCGTTGACTTCCTTTCCTCAGGAGACAGAACTACAACTCTTGAATCAAAGCGCTGTTTGATAAGTCTTGGAGAGGACCCATGCAATGTTGGAGTTGTACCTCGGACATCTGTATCGTCATCTGATTTCTTTTTCCTCGGGGTTTTCATTAACCCGCTCTGTGAATCCGCGTCTAAGAAAGTATGCTTTTGTGGTGGTTGCGTATTCGTAGATGAGCTGGGCTTTTCAGTGAGGGGAATAACTTTTCGTTTCTCGCGTGCTTCTGGGGAGAGAACTGACGAAAATCCAATACAAGAAAATGAGCGCTTTTTAAGGAGTCTTGGTGAAGACCTAATGGCTGTAGACGTTAATTTATGTTTGGGCTTTGTTGCGTTTTGGTGACTTTGGGAACTTTCTTTCTTTTGATCATGTTCTTTAGATGTCGTCAGTAAACTGTGTAACGAAAATTTTTTTTTCTGCCGAGGAGAAAATCGCAAAGGCGAAAGAGCTAAAGAGGACAATTTCTGAGGTGTCTTTTTCACAACGGCTCCTTGAGTAGAAATGAAAGCTGGTCCCTCTGTGGGTGCTTCCTTTGACGAGTCACGAGAGTACACACCGCTGAAAGACCTTGTCCTCGTCAAAGGGCCTGTACTAGAAGAGGGCCCATAAAACGACTGGCTCCGCTGGAACGTTGCCAATGGAGGCCTTCGAGGACTTCGCCGCGGGAGACCCTCTCCTACAAAGAGTTTTATTTCAGTTAAAATTCCGTAACTACACAACGATGCGGTGTTTATTAAATTCTAGAGAGTTTCCAATGCAGGCTTTACTCAAAATCGTATTTCCTAAATCAAAGAGAAAATATCGGTAAATCATTTGTAAATATTACGTTACACCGAAGCTTGAATAAAGTCGCAATGTCTCGTTTTTGCGACTGAAACATCCAAAGACAGTGCAGATAACCGTACGTTATATTCTATTCTGGTAAATACCACAGAGGTAAAGGGTGATTTTCGCACGCGCCGATTGGCTGGTTAGAAAGCGAATAACAAGTACTATTCTCCTCCGAGCAGCCAAAAAGACAAAAGCGCACGTCAAGAGTTTGACCATTTTTCGGTATATTGAAAGAGATAAACTATTTTTTTTTTTTTTTGCATCTGTGCAGTATTTATTAAAACAATTATCCACCTCAGTGTCGCTGAAAGCGGTGGATATTTACCTCGCCGCTTCGCGGCCCGGTAAATATCCAGCACTTTTCACCTCCACTGCGGTGAATACTTGTTAAGTAGCATTTTCAAGACATGCACCTGCTTGCAATTCTTTAAGGGGTGACTCTTGTAAAATATGCACCTCCGTATGAGCTCTGGAACGTTTTCTGGAATCAGAGAACATAAAACTTTTAGCAAAAAATCAAATTTTCATAGCAAACTGAACACTGTTGATGTTGACCTCTCCAATAAATAGACATAGATTAAGAGTTTTTTAAATCAAGACCCAAAAGCTGTTTGATCCTGGTTCTACAAATTATACAAAACTATACTCATAATAAACCCAACAACAATATGGGTTTCGTTTTCTTTCCTTTTTTTTTTTTTTTTTTTTTTTTTTTTTTTTTTTTCGCCATTTGGCCCGACTTTAGACATTCTATCCATGTTTCCGTGCCAAAAGGACACAAGCTGGTAGAGCGGTTTAAGCCATTGTATTTCTACTCGGCCGCCCTGGTTCAAATCTAGCAGTGTCCTATATTGCTGAGTTGTTCTGGGTAGTTCCGAGTTAAGCTCTTCAGTCATGCTTCGGGGTTCTTACTTGTTACGTGGGCCACAATTTCAACGAATAGGTCAGCAATTTGTTGAGCAAAGAGAGAAGGGATAAAAGGACATTTTGCTTATAATCAAAGTTGTGCCAGAGTCGCATTACACGGCAAGAAACACCAGAGCTTAAGAGTTTGCCAAACCATCTTGTTTTCAAAAAGCCGCTACCCGAGATACCCTGAACCATTCGGAATGGTACAAGGGAACTACGGCGTTTTACAGGGTTGGTAATGGTTGTTTTTGTTTTATAATGAACTGAAGCAACTGACCTGGCACGATCCTGTTTGCACCATAATGCATGAGAGACCTGTTTATGAGCAGGAGTCTCCTGAACCGTGGAGTTTGAACAAGAACCTGCCAATTCAATAAAAATACAACGCCGTTAATCTCTAAAAAACTTAGCTCTGATCTGAAATCAAATTTGTCTGCGGTATTTTGGGCTGACCTTGGTATCACGTCCAGGGTTTGGCCGCAAGGCTCGCACGTTTTTTAGGGGAGAAAAAGGAACACTCACGTTGTGTGCTGTTGGGGTGAGTTGCAAAAGTTTTGTAATTTTTTCCGAAATAAAATTTCTTTTTCTCCGCCGGCATAAACAACATGTACTGATCGAAACTTTGTAAGGTCAATTGGGTGCTGGCAGAAATTTGCCGCTTGATCGTTTTGATTTCTCGGCTGGCGTTTTTGAATCATCACGGGAAGGTCTATGATGGCAAGATTACATACCCACAGTATTCCTCCGCTGAAATCGACGCTTTGCGTGTTTCTTTTTCTCTCCTTCAGAAATTTTCTTTTTTCTTAGCACTTTGGCGATCGAGTTATTCTCATCACCTTCTTCTGATTCAGTAAAAAGATTTCGTCTGACTTGTTTTACTGGTGTCTCGTGACCCTCACTTTTCTTCTTTCCCTTCTTACTTCCAACTACAAAAATAACAATAGAACCAGTTCTAACTTCTGACGGTATCTAATAAGTAAGATCTTAATAAAAGATCAAAAAGAAAACAGAAGAAAAAGATAGAGAAGTGAAAGAGGAAGATAAAAGGAAGATATCCTACAAAATCTAAGAAATCTGTAATGATAAAAACCAAGCTTTCCGAACCACAAATACACAAACCATACAGAAACATTAAGTAAATTCATGTCGCGAAAGTTTCATATCAAACTAGTCAGTATAAATCTTAAATTTTTTCTTTTGTTGAAAACTTGAGCCTTTTCGATGCAAGTTCTGTAATAAATACCATTGTATCTGAATAATTATGTTAGGCTTCCTTCAATTTCATTTTCAGTCTTAATTGCCACGTTGGCCTTCCTCCGTTTATCTGCACTGCGAGTAAGTGAAGCGAAAGAAAAAGTAAAGTATAAGACGCTTTTCGATCGAGTGGCGTCAAACACATCCTTAAATTGTCGCAATAAGCCGATGATAACTCAGTGCAAAAAACATCGAGCGCAAGCGAAGGTAAAAAGAAAAAAAAGCCATCCTAAACCATGCCGGAGTACTATTGATACTCAAACGAAAATATTGCTCTACAGGAGTACAGCTGCACGATTCTGCAGCATGATTCTGAGTTGAGAAAGTGCTTCCCTAAGAGGTCTACCTTTGTATTTTAAATACAATTTTAAACTTTTTATTGGAAGAAATGTAAATCAACCTAATACAAATATGAATATGCTATAAAGGTTCGAAAATAACTTGATTATCTCGCTCTCACAGGAAACTAAAGTTTCCCTGGGAAAGATGAATACTGTGATAGAATTTTCACCTCTTAAACCAAGAGATACTTGTGGTTTTCCCTTCAATGCCTTTTCTTTCTCTTTATCCTTTGGTTTTGCCTTTCCCGGTACAACAATCTCTCTCCTTTTACCAACAGCATCTGAAACGCTCAAATGACGGGTGATAATACGGCATCCACTACTCCTAGGAAAAAAAAAAAAAGAAAACTGGTTGTTAACCGAACGAATATATCCCATTATACCGGCATGCGTCTGTCAAGAACAAGAAATGGCCTACAGCCCGCAAGTGGGGGTTTCACAGATTTTCGTACCACATTTTGGTGTCTTTCGTGATTCATGACTGAAAAGAAACACGGGAAATAACATACATCTGCTTGATTTAATGAACAGAAAGGTACAGCTGTACTTTGAAGGTACACGGTTTCTTTTTCTTGCTTGTGAACTGGTCCTGGTCAGTTTTTTTTTATTATTTTTCGAAGACTTAACCTTCTCAATCGCCAGGCGGAAGTCTCAGTGTACTTTCATTTATTATAGTACTCTAAGTTTCCAACACAACCTTCCCCCCCTCCTTCTTATGACAAAACTAATTAGTTTTTATGTTCAAATCAGAAATGCGAGATACCTGTAGACGTAAATCAAAACGTAAAGCAAAATATTAGTAGTTCCTTACAAAACGACTTTAGGTCGAGCGTTGAATACACCTAACTGACCTTATTTCTATTCAGGATGAGTTGAGCGAGAAAGGGAGATTTGGTTTCTGGTCGAGAAACTCACTTCAAATTTTCCGAGAATTACTAAATCAATTATTTATTTTCGATTCTTTTAAATCAACTTAAAATCCGAAGTCTAAAACAAAATACAATTTACACGCCTAGAAAAGTAAGTTACCTGGGTTGATTGGAGTCTTGTTTAGCGCTGGAAACAGAGTTGATCTGGCGTCTGATTGGCGATTCATCATCACTGGACCATTTGGAAGGCGTAGACACTTCCTTGGGGGGGCGCATCATCAAACCCTCATAAACAGCACAGAGGAACTTGGCGAGTTTCTGTCCATACCTGAAGTTCGTGAAGCGTACAGGCAGGGTTAGTCCAGCAGGGTTTAAGATAAATAGACGTGAACTGTATGGAGCACATTGTCGAAATTACTACAGTCGATTTAGAGAATGAAAAACGTTACAAGGAAAAGAAAAGGAGCCAGTGAAAGTTCTAGCTAAAAAATAAACAAACTCCCTGAAGCTCTGGGAAACGCGGGTGATTTCAGTTTTTCATTTAACAACTGTTTGAGAGAGTGCCGCTGGCTTTTCAAATTCGTGAAGGGGTATGGGAGACAGAAGAAGAAAAGCGGGAAATGGGAACTGTTTGAGAGCGGTAGGCGGGAGTGAAGCTGTAAACCTTGGCGAACCAATAATCTGAAGTGTCTTACGAATGAAAACAAAACAAAAGGCGAAAAACGGGAGTCAGAGATACAGGAGGCGGAAAAGCCGGGTATAAAGGATGGTAGTTTTCACCTCCTCTCCCCAAACACATCAATCAAAACGAGAGGTACAATCAATGCAATGGGTCCTATTCAATTACAAAATTGCTCTGATTGTGAAGGAATGTTCTCACCTGAAAAGAAGTATCTCACGTAGTAAAATAGTTAGGAACTTAGGGTCCTTCATGAATGAGATGGTTCGAAGGAGTACCGTCACCTACAACGGAGAGTGAATGATACTTGTTTAAAACACCAAGAACCACTGGAGTTTAATGAAATTAAGAAATACTAAATATAATTTAATGCTTTTACAGAGGCAGGAAACCATTTAAAAGGAAGATAATTTGGTTGCATCAACTGGGTTGATAATGTAAATTGGCCAACTAAGTTGATAAAACCAAATTATCTTGTTATACCGCCCACCATTGCAGCAACACAGTTTCTTCAGAAATCTACTCTCCTCCCCCCCCCTTTATTCATTAAAAGGGAAGAAGAATATGCAGGAAATTTGCACCATCATGTATGTATATTAAATTTACTTAAGATATGAAATAACGACCTCTTCAATGAGGGAACTCTTTCCATCAGCATTTATAAGAGCTGCAATCTCCAATCGAAGCATAATCTGGAGCTGGTACCTGATACATAGGCAAGGTGTAAAAAGACATTAGAGTTTCAAATCCATTCAGCCAAGATAAGGTTTCTATGATTCTTGATTTTTTTAAAAAGATAACCTTTGAAACTTGATAAAATACTTATTAAATAAATGATAAAAAATAATTAGATACTGTCATTAGATTATTATTATTATAACTAATTAGATAGATGTTAGAGAAATAAGTATAAACACAAAAATGGACATCCAGATTTTTTTCAATTATTACAAAGCTGTGCTTTAAGAAAAATCCTTATACTTGGAACTAACATTAAATGAAACATGGGGCAGACAGTGAGGACAGTTACTGTAGGGATCAAAAGGGAAAAAGCTTTAAACACTCTAATACAGCAATATCCAAAAGTCACCTAATAGCAAAATATTATCTTGTATCACACCTTCATGCTTGCTTGTTTGTTTCTTTTAAGTGTGAGGCATTAAGTACTTTCAAGGGTGGATGTAGGAGATAATAACAAACAACATCTGCTTACTCTCTGACTTGCTGCCCTTGTCTAATGACATCACTACATCCTTCATATTTTTTTCTAAGTGCTGATACTGTTAAGAGTACATGCTCTTCTAAAAACTGTGAAACAAGCCCCTGAGAAATAACAAAGCATCCCTTCTTTTAGACCATACTGCATTTGCCTTTTTGACAATGCCTACAAATGTAAGTGAATAAAAATAAATAAACCGTGGAAGTAATAGAAGAATAACTGGTTTTTTTTAATGAAAAGGTTGCAGTACATTGATAATGAAGTACCAGTATTATTAACTACATGTAGTTGTTATTGAAACAGGTATGTAGTGAAATTAATGAAAGGTTGTCTGTTTGGTTGCCATAAACACATGAAATCATTGATACAGTGTGTAGCATTTAGCACACTGATGTTCTTCAACTCTCCATGGGTATATATACAAATGTCTTAAATAGATTAAAAGAAAACGAAGTATTAAACAATATTACCTTCTGTTCATTATCTCCCTCGTTCACAAAAAATTGGGAAACTATAGTCACTATGTTCGTGATTTCATGAAGTATGTTTTCTCCCTGGTAAAATTTAAAAATGTCATGAGACAAAGAATGAACATTAGTCAAATACTCTTGAACAATACATGGAATAATATTCATAAAAAAAAAAAAAAAACATTTCATAAATACCTCCAAAATGACTTTACTGGTTAAATCACAAATGGCCAATTTCAACTCAGCTTTATCTGCAAAATTCAAAAGTTAACTCTCATTATGTGGATCCAGTAACTTGGCCACTCTCATTATATGGATCCAGTAACTTGGCCACTCAGAAAAAGAAATGAAAGCCAAGCTCACTGACAAGAGAATGATTTCAAACCTTTTTTCTATTGTACATATATCTCCTGACAATGATAAAAAACTCTCCAACTTAAACATGCATCTACAGCTATGAATCATTAATTTAAACCATGAACAAGCTTGCCTAGTTGCTTTAAGTCTATGCCTTGTAACACTAAAAAATTGGAACAGTGAAAAAGATATATCAATGCATGATTGCAAATGTGTAGGGAATTTCATGAATTAGGATGGACTTCTCTCAGTTATGTAGAAATACAAGTAAAGCGTCTGTTCAAAAGTCCATAATTTAGTAACCACTGTCATATACCTGTCAGATTACATAGGACTTCTTGCATTGCAGTGCTATTGTTAGGTAACAGGCTGTCATTATCAGTGGAACAGTCATTCAATTTATCATTCTCAACTGAAGGTTGGCTCTTATTGATATCCAAACTGCTCTTTTGATAATCTGTACTTGTTCCCTTCTTCAAATTCCTTCTGTATATCAAAACAATAAGAACCAATAATTATTAGACTTCGATTCAAAATGATTCCTCTAACTTTCAAGCCCTATTTTATAATGATCCCTCTTAAATTGAGCCTCATTCACATGATGCGTCACCAGTAAAAGGTTCTTACATTTATGTTTCAAATCAACTACAGTGTGGCAATGGTTGGAAAAAAAAAAAAAAAAGAAAAAAAAAACATAAGTATTGTGCAGGAGCAATAATTAAATTGAACAAGAAGAAACATACAATTTAAATTAAGACATGATCCATGTAATAACAAATTTATTATTACTGTTAATGATATGACATGGAAGTTAATAGAGAAAAATAATTATTAATCCAGTCCAAAAACTGGCCATGAATTTCAAAAAATCTGGCTTTTTTCAAGGGTGACTGCAATAATATTATTCACTGAATAGAGCTGTTCAGTAATTACTCACAGGACAAAAGAATAGTAACACATATTTCAATAACTGAATGAGTAGCCACCAGGCTTTTATCTTACTTAGGCATAAAAGTTTCACACTGAGCACCCATTCACAATACTGTTAGTGGTGCTGTACTACATAATTATACTTACTTATGCTTTGATGAGGCACTCTGTACTTCTGACTTCTCTGCAGCAAGCTCTTTGGGCTTCTTTGGTAATTGAGTTACAATAGAAGTCATTGATACCAAATGTGATTCTTTCTTATTATAAAGATCTTTCAATTCTTTCATTAGAGCAGCTTCATTAGCAACATCGCCATCTTCCTCCTCTTCAGACTTACTGTCTCTGTTAATCCAAAATATTTGAGGCAATACTTATAATTAATAACAGTTATTATTGTACCACACCCTTACCATTTTGCTCTGCATTTCAGAGTACAACTTAAACGACTCAATGACATGTGCATGAACAGTGAACCCTACTGTACTGACTGCACAGGACTACAGTGTATCTAAAATGCACCTTAATGAAACAGCTATGCATCTAAAATGCACCTTAATAAAACAGCTATGCATACCAGTTATACTTTATTTACAACATTAAGTGTACACACAGCACTACAGCATACCTTTGAAGTTCATTAAAAAATGAACCAGTTGTGTTTTCCTCAACAGCAAAGGAACCCCATGGATCAAAAAACATTGCATCAAATTCTTCTCTTTTATTTCTGAACGGATCTAAAGAATTAATGCAAATTACAACATTAAGATAAATGTTTGACCTTTGTTCGCGAATTTCATTGACCATTTATCTGCTAAGTGGAATAAGCATCTTATCTCAGTATCACCACTGGATTGAACAATAAGATCATAACAACATAGAAAATTAATGCCAATTAAAGAAGCTCTTGATTGATAAACAAATTCTCCTGGTTTGTACTATAAGACAGGACTCGACACTAATGGTAGCCAACTAGCCACAGACCAGTAGAAATTCAGTTTTGGCTAGTGATTTCAATTTCCACTGGCCAGTTTGGCTAGTAAACAAACTGAAATTGTTATAACATCTAAGATGTCACTAACCATTTGGCTAGTAATTTGAAAAGTTAGTGTTGAGCCCTGTAAGAAATGTATGGAAAACAATGTGGAGAATATGTGTACTGATTTTAGGAGTAGTAAGAGTAGTAAGATTAGTCCTCTCTCACAGTAGATGCACTAACTCTCACTTATTCACAACTACAGCTGTATGTATCATCAAGAAATCCATAGTTTCCAGACTTATTAATTCTATTTTGCAAAATGAAATGAAACGAAACAAAACCAGGCAAGATATAACAAAACTAAGGGGAAAATGCATTACATTATCTAATAAGGTAAGGATAAATTTCATGAGGATTTTGGAGTAATCATCAATTGATAAGAAAGATTTTCATTCATTTTGCAAAGTAGTAATTTTAGGAGGGATACTATTTTGTGAAATCAACTATTTTCACACTTCAGTAACGATGTCTTTCTCTTGGGGTCACAAAAATATGTTTAAACATTTCATCAAAGTATATTCCTGAAGATTTCAGTCACCTCCTATTTCACCACCCATTAATCTTACAACTAACTAAACAATTCTTATTTTGTGAAATGGACTATGACCCTAAATTATAATTTCATCTAGTTTAAGTATAGATTGTCATGAAATAATATTATTAGAGTTATTATTTTAGATTGCTGTAAACAACTGTAATTTAATTGTGTGTGTAAGTGGTAAATAAATAATAGTAATAACAATAATAATAATTTTTTTTTTAAAAAAATACTCCACTTTATTTAAAATCACCAAAAATATTTACTAAAGTTTGATAAAAACCCTTGGCTAAAAATCGAAAAACACACCAAAATGTCCATCAGAAGCTAAGAAAAACACACCTCAGCTACGTTTACTTCTCGAGCTTTACAATAATAATAAAGATGATAATAATAAAATTTTTTAGGCATTTTAACACATCTCCTTCTTTATTTAGCAATAATTTCCATAAAATCCTCTACAATACAAAATATTAATGTTCAGCGTAATAAACGATCCAAAGTAACTCACTTTCGGCTCACATCTACTCCTTTTTTTAATAATAATAACAACAACAACAACAACAATGACAACAACAACAACAATAATAATAACAATAATAATAATAATAATAATAATAATAATAATAATAAGGGCAGTCCACTCCGGCACACTGAATATTGCCCGGACTTTCAAGGTGGCAGTTTGAGTTCCTGTTAGGAGGAGGACCGTAGACACAACGGAAAAGCTTTTTAGGATTAGTTAATGTACATTTATTTTTTACTCCGTGGCTCACAGGTTACAGTTTTCGCCCTGTGCTGCCTGATTAGAATGTAGCATTCAGTTGATTTCTCTGCGACAAAATAATAATAATATTCACCCAGTAGTAATGATTAATTAATCTCAAATTTTGGAATTTAAAAATCATACTGTCCTATGACTGCTTCAAAATGAGTAGAGTTGCAATTTATTTTGTACATTTAATTTCATCTCACCTTGTGATCCAGTAAGCCCAAAGAAGACCTCTGGGTAAGAAAGTGATTCAGTTGATTCAAGATTATCTTGAGATCTGTAGTTACTGATCAGATCCTGGCAAGATTCTGCATTCATCAGTTTTGTTCTATCTACAGGTGAAGACTTGCCATGCCAAAGAAGAAACTTTTCAAAAGTGATGAGAAATTCTGATGCAATGACATTTATCACTCCACAGACTGAGGTCAAAGGTTGGAGGACTCCAGTAACTGGTAACCCAGTATCACAATCAATAAAATCAATAATCTGCCAAAAAAAAGAGACAAAGTTGGGAGACAAAGTGTTAGAAGCATCTTTAAGAGTTATCTACCTTGTGGCATAAAACTTTGCTTTTTTTTTTTTTTTTGCAGATTTTGCAGATCTGGCAATCTAAGTTTCTTGAAGAAAAAAACTGCAAGCCTTTTCTACCTTATGTCCAACTCCACTTTTGATGAACATATTTGACTGGGGCTAAACAAAATGGTGCTTTGTAATGGTTGGCAAAGCATAGGGGTTAGGCTTTTTGTTTGGTCTCACTGATGTATCATCACTTTTGAGGAATAAGGTTTATTCCCTTTCGTTAAAAGAATATAGTGAGATCTCTTCAATCAAAATTACACTTTCTTTATTAATGTTTATGTTCTGCTGCCTGAACATAGCCGTAGAGTCACCAAAATTAGTTCCCAGCAGAAATTCATTCATATCAGGTCCATGAAAATTGATTCCCACAAAATACACATAAAATATTTCATTTAGTTTTTAAAGTAAGATTTCTCCAGGGGTCTACCTTTTCCAATTTGGTATGAGTGGGAGGCCCAAAGCACATACATACCAGTAATTTGTTCTCTTTTGCCAAGGAAAGTATAAGTGCTTGGTACCACCCAGAAATAAGATTCTGAGAGCAAAAAGAGGAGTCTATAGTACCATCAATAGCACGGTTATCCAAACCAACACAAGAAAAACCTTTGGTGGGGTGAAGCCATCTTGGAGGAACACAAGTCTGATTCACTACCCCTCTAATCCAAAGAAGGTTCACACTGCTTGATTCATCATTTGATGGTGTCTGTTTGCTCTCTATATCTGCAGTTTCATAAGTCAATGAAGAGTTTCCATGAAAGTTTCCCAAGCCCTTAAGCCCTTCCATGGAACAAAACATAGAGTGAAGTTTCACAGTACAATGCACCTTCTCCTCAGCACCTAAAAGTGTCAAAAAAAGATGAGATATTAAGTTTCACAGTGCAATGCACCTTCTCTTCAGCACTAAAAGTGTCAAAAAAGGCAAGATATTCAACAAAAAGATTAATAAAAATAAAAGAAAGGAAATAATTTCAATGATACAGCTATATACCAGTATAATTATATTGAGGTTGTTAACAATTCTATATCACATAATTATTTATAACTAGTACTTGCAGTTGTGTTATTGCAATAATATTCTGGAGATTCCCCTTTGTTTCAATTTAAGGAAGACACATTGAAATTTTGGGGTGTAAATTGCTTTGTAACTTCTCAGCTTTTTGGGATCACACAAATATCTGTTAATATCCTTATAACTCTTAAGAAGCCACTACTCAAGACATTATACAGCAATAAATTCTGCTGACATTACCTGAAGAACACAGCAATCCTGTACCATCCATCATTGCTTTAGCTTGCTGTTGTGAAATAATACCCTCTGGTGCTGATGGCTTTGTTAGCTTCTTGCAGAAATAAAAATCCATGACAGTTTCAAAAGGAAGCAGTTGTCCCATACTAGATTTGACTTGCTTGAAAACTGAAAGAACTTTTCCAGATTGAGGTTTTAAGTTTGATCCAATAGAGAAATTGTTCCCTGTATAATTCACTGCTGAAAGAGGTATCAAGCACCCTCCAAACTGTTCCACTGTTGCCTCCACAAATGATTTTACACCTGCATTCTAATACACAAAGAGAAATAACTCATATAAAAATAAAAAAAAACAGCAAACAGATCTTCACAAGTCCAGATCCAAATGCTGGCTTAATTGAGGGGCTTAGATTGTTCCCAATCTAAGCCCCTACACATTTCCTGGTAAATTAGCTGCAACAATTTGGTTTGGATCAAGATAACTTCTGGCTGATAAGTTTGAGTATTCTCACTACCTGTATATTGGATAATGTATGACAAGGCTGTGGTCTAACAGCACCCAGTGACCCCCTGGCACCTTACTTTTACTCTTGGGCAACTCAGGAAATTTAGTTTTTTCATACTTGGCTCCCTGGATTTCACAGTTTCAGAGCACTGGGCTCCATTCAATTTTCCTTAGCTAGAGCACAGTCTTGTGTGAGTATCATAGAGAGAAATAACATGTTAATCACTTCTGAGACTTGAAGGAGTAATCATTTTTGGGCTGTTCATGTAGCTTTAGAACTGAGTTCATCAACTTGTCTTTGTTCTTATTAATTTATTTTGTCTTGAAGCTTTTAAGGATGACAAGGATAAATTTTATCCAAAATTTCACAAAGAATAGCCTGTGTAGCAGATATCTTTTTTTTGCACTTTTCCATCCATTGGTTAATAAAACTGCATACCAGCTTTGCAACTGATCAGATGAAAGATTAAAACCAATCTCATCTTGGTCACTAACATTTTCCAACACCTCAGCCAGTCTAATCTATTTTTACTGAGTCTTCATTGGCTCCTGGCAAAGTTAAACTTCATTCTAACTGGCAGTTATGATTACTTAAGTTTTCACCTCACAACACTTTAAAAAAAGACCCAGTGACTACCCAGCTAGCCAAAAAAGAACACACAGAAGAGGAGACCAACAGTTTAGTTAAAGTTTAGTTAAATGAAGGGCTAACCCTTGAAAGTTCAGCTTTGAAACTCTTTACAGTGGCGGTTATACAGAAATCTTGCCCAGTTAACCGAGTAGCTGCCAATAGATCATGATGTACTAGTTACCAAATTATGTTTCTGGCTGGTCTGATGGTCGTAGAAGAACAGAAATTTGCTTGTGCCCATAAAATCTACCCTTTATCATAGGACTAAGAAACTGTCCAATTTCTCATTTTCTAGAAGAATTACAGCTTTCTGTAACTGATCAACACCGGTGTAAAATATTGGAAATAGCTTTACACGTACCTCTTCCTGCTGAAAATTTCCCATGTTCACCCAATGTAAACAAATGCGCCTTTCTTTGAATTCCTTGTACAACGCAGAGGGCATCAAGATACTTTTAAAGCGCTCAAATGTTCCGAGACCCGACAAATTTTCACCAGTAAATTCTGAGATTGAGTCATCGTCGTGAGGGCATCCGCTCAACAAAAAGATAACATTATGAGTATTGGTTATGTTGTTATGGTAAAAGAGCGAGTTGTTATTTCCACGAGTTCTTCTGATAGGTGAACTTATGTCAGGTCTTTCCCACTGAAAATCGTGAACAGCATTTTTAAAAGCAAAAGAAACACATCTAGCTCCACTCGGTGATTTGGAAAAGGCTGTCGTTTCTTCATCGTCTTGTTCCCTCGGTTCAAGTTCGTTTACTTGCCATTGTTGTGTGAAGGATTCTTGCAACCTCTTCGACACATGATCTTCAAATTCTTCAAACGCGTTAACTAAGAATTCTTTGAAGTCGTGTCGTTCAAACTGATGTGAAAGTGATTTGGAGTTGAATATTTTGTAGCCCCATCGCACGCTGGATCGCTTTTTTTTCCGATAGTCACGAAAATAAGTTAGCAATCGAAGCACGCACAATCGTATGGCCTTCGCAGCATGTTCGGCGGAGCAGTTCGATCCCCAAAATGAAGGATTAGAATCGATAAGAAACACAATTTGATGGAAACTTTCGCGAGAGGATTTATCTGACATATCCTTTCAAATATCGACTCTTTTGCTATTCAAAAGTGAAAATACTGTCACTGTTGAAACAGTTCTTGTTCACTCATGAATGCATCGGGAGTTGGGAATAGGAAATTTCGCGCCTTTAGGTCACATGATCATTCTGAAAGTAAATATGACCACAGGTTACCCAAGCTTTTACGATATAGCTTATCATGTGTCAAACCAGATTAGACACGATTTAAATGTTTTTCTTCATAGAAGCTGCTTAAAGCAATGTCAGTGACAACTTAAATCCGATGGAAAAATTCAGTTTTTCAGCTCTTTGTCTCTGATTCCCTATTTGATTAAACATGTTGTGCAGGAGTGAATGGGGTGTAAGTCAGTGGTCGTTAATGAGGTGCGTCAAATGAAATTAAAATGACCTATGTTGACTCAACATCGTTCAGAATTCCTGTTATGAGCATCCGCTTTTTTATCAATTTTAGTTTAGCTTTCGTGGAGGCAGTTCCTGAACAACTTGAAAGGGGCAAGAGATCAGCCAGTCCAGTTCGAGTGCGAAGTTTCCTACCTAGTGTGCGAAAGAGAAGAGAAAGCAACTGCCTACAATGCCACTTAAACTGTTTGCACACAACTTGAAACATTAGAAAATTAAAAAGTAACTTTATTAAATAGCTCTTAGCTGCTTCTGCATACAGAGGCAGTTAATGTCGTCAATATGGAGAGACAAGTTAAAAATGAAGTAAACTAAATGAAAGGGAACGATTACGTTGCAATAAAATTTTGTTCAAAAACGAGTAATACTCCTTTTATCATCAATTAGTTGGATGAATACATAACTCCTTAAGAGCTTCAGTTACGACAAAAGTGAGCCGTTTTTGTGTCACGAGATGAAAGTTGAACTGATCTCAGTAATACAATGAGTTTGTCAACGGGCACATCAAATGCAATAGAAGGAAGTCATGTTTTGTTAAGATAGAATTAAGGGTATACCCTAAGTAAGTTGCAGAACACCCTCGTTGAATCAAGGGGATTGTCTCTTCAGTCTTAACTACCAGATCTGAAATTTTTTAACAGATTAATAGTCACAAGGCTAAGTAGCAGTCATGAGCTACCAATTGTTGTTTACGGCAAATCGATGCTTGAAAAAGCATAGGTAGAAAAACATTGAACAATCTAGAAGATATATGTATAGCGAATGTAGAAATTCCTGGTTCAAAATTGCTTTGCTGATTATACATTCACTGATCATATGTAGGTAAGTAATGAAAGAAAAGCTTACTAAGTAATAAAAGTTATGATCCCGTTCCAGAGAACGTTGAGTCAAGCACTGAGTTGTTCTTTTAAAATTGGACATTTGAAAAATATGCAAAAATGTGCCACAAAGAAGTATGAAGCTTAATTACCATCAATTCACAGGGAATCATTAAGCCTTCGTCATTTTCTTTAAAAAGGAAAAAAAAAGCCAGTAGTGGCAGTCAAGATTTCAATTAGGCTGTAAGGCCAAAATCCCATAAAGTAAATCTTTTCACTAATGAAATCTTTAGATCTTTAACTAACTGTGTGTATTAATCTAAGAAGGACTACCCACTTATACTACTAGCAATGACCTACAATGAAAAAGTTAACTCAAATATCAAAGATCGTAATTACTGTTCAATGTTTCGAGAATTTACTTGCACCTTGAATGAATGAGGCTTCAAGATCAGTCCAAACTCTCCGTCCATGTTAAGTGGTACGCTGTGTTCCGGAAGCTGTAGGTGCAGTCCTTGCAGGAGACACCCAAGAAACATAAACAGCTGCGCCTTAGCGAGGGTAGCACCAAGGCAGCGCCTCCCACCGGTTGATAATGGAAGCAGGAACACTTGCTGATCCAACAAGAGTTGTCCCTCGGTGTCAAGGAAACGGTAAGGATCGAAAACGTTGGGGTGGTCGAAGTATTCTGGATCGTGATTTACAGCCCAAAGATTAACCACAACAGTCGTTCCTTTAGGTACATGGTAACCTGCGACTTCTGAGTCTTCTGTAGTGTAGTGTGGAATCGCAAGGGGAACAACGGTAGCTATTCGTAATACCTCTAAGACCGTGGCTTGTAATAGGGGCAGTTTTGTTCGATCCTGAAGGGTGGGAAGGCGATCCGCTCCTATCACGCGTTTCAGTTCTGCTTGTAAGTCGTATTGCAGACCAGGTTTCGATAGGATATGGAGCAGCGCCCAGCTCAACGAGGTAGACACTGTTTCAATTCCGGATCCAAAAACATCGGCTAAAACTTTAACCGCTAAGTCTTCAAACGACTCGTTGCAAGCTTTCTGTTCCGTTGATATAGAGATTTTCCGGTCGGGCTTTCAATCATTTACGAGATCTTCTCTAATAATTTGATCCAAGGATGCTGCCACATTGACACCAGCTTCTTTGATGCTTGCATGCCGCTGCAGCTTGTAGATGCTTCTTACAAAGTCAAAGAGCTCTCTGACGGAATCTTTCACAACTTGGCACTGCTTTTTGAAGAGAAAGTGAAGCCAAGGAAAAAAGTCTAACAAGTTGATGGCTCCATTATTCTCGCTAAAGTCAGCTGCTCTGTTCATAAGGCTCTGCAAAGCAACACTGTACTGCTCTTGAAAATTATCTCCAAACACAAATCTGAAAGCAAAGTTAGTGACCATGGCTTTAAGGTGTGGACTCAAGTCCTGAGCCTCTGAGCTGCCATCTGTCAAAAGGCAGCATTGCATTCGCTCAAACTCTTGATGTGACAAGATATCAAAGCGGTTCACATCAGAGAAAACAGAATGCAATGCGCGAGCAGCCAATTTCTTTTTTTTGTGATGCGAAGTGTCAAAGTCACCAAAGACTATGCTCTCGCTTTGATGCTTGCTAATTTTGAAACTGTGAAAGGGTGGTCTCCCCGAGAAATGGCCAGCCCTTTTTGACAATGTTTCTTTAACGACATCTTGGCTGTTCAAAACGATTGCTTTCCTCCAACCAAGGCGTATAGAAAATACATTTCCGTAGACTTTGGCCATCCTCGATAAGGCAAGATGCGGTGAATCGCCAAGTTGAAGCAGGCTCCCGATCAGTGGCAAACCGAACGGCCCAGGAGGAATGTCTCTTCGAGTTTTGTACCATCCCCAGATGAGCAGCATGAAAGCAGCGATGCAGCCGACACTAACAAAATAAAACATCGGATTTTCTCGAAAGATCGAGATTTCATCCATACCAGTTAGCTCAAGAGAGTCGAGGGTGGCTATTCAGCAGTTTTGCAGCAAGTCTTGCACCCTTGTTGAATTGCGGGTGGTATTTATATAACTTCTCTACGTAACCTTGCCTGTTTGTTTACCTAAAAAATTGCCAATGTCAAGGTCGCGAGTCACACTTGAGACGCTCTATTTATTTAACAAACAGATGGAGCGTGTCTTTTTCAAGGCCTACATCACGAAATCTACCCCTTCCATCTCTATATATTGCTCAAGTTGTAGACTTTTACTTTACCTAACATTCTAAATGAAATACCTCTAGAGGAAAAATACTAAATTGCTCATGCTTAAATAACAGTGCGCTATTTTTCATTCCCCCACCTCCACCTCCCGTCCCGCCCGGCCATTCTATTGTTACAATGAGTAACTATGGATACACATAAGACGGCAACTCTGTTAACAGTTTTGCTGTTCCTGAGGTTGCAAAACTTGAGCAAACAACATTTATAGTAAGGCAATGAGCAGCAAACCGACACGTCTGTCGGATAATCCGCCGTCATACTTATTAGTGTCACAAACGCGTAATCATTTGTTACTTCCGTGACCTTAACAGCGCACATCGGTCAGATCGTTACCTTGGGTCTCTTTTATCTGTCACCGACAGCAATTTTACGCGTTGACGGTAATCGTCAAAAATACCGCAGCTTTCAACCTTGAAGAACAACCTGTGTTTATTATCCAAGGTTAAAGCCCGGTAAAAATAAACCTTCTCTTAGATATTATACCATAATCAGGAAGGGGATTACTAGAAGAATCAGATCAAATTTGATCAAGTTACTTTGAGAATTTTTGCGCGAAATCCATACACTTGTTTTGGTGAAAAAACAATCCTTATACGCTAAATCACGATTAAGTTGTTTTCACTGCTTCTGGAAACAGAGTCGTTAATGATACTGAGCTATAAATATCTATTTTCATGATTTGATTAGCCTTGACTGCGAAAGAGTAAGGTAACTACGTAAATGAAAAGGTTTGCAATACAAGGGATTTTACAGCCAAGGTCACAGTTGGGAACGAATCGCCCATGATGAATACTGTTACAAATCAACTATTAGACAATGAATATAGCTTTGTACCGCCCCTGACAGTCACAATGCAAAGAATAGATATTTGTTTTCCTATGTGGGTGTCAAGATGAACTCTTTTGTGAGGGATCACCTAACCCTGAGGCAATTTGTATTCAAACTGAATCAAGAACACGCTTTTCTCACGATATAAAAATAAAAGCAGTTTCAAACTCTTGAAAACAGTCATCCACTGTTTTCAGCTGGAAATTTTAAAATTCTTCCATACGACTAAACTCCAGCGGAACGCGAGATCTTCCTGTCGAGGAATGCGGAAAGATTCAATACCAAGTTGTGATACCCCTACAGCAATATAGCCTTTTCATTTAATTAGCATGACACGCTTAGAAATTGAAATTAGTCTGAAAAATCCCAAGGTCATAAACACATCCACGCGGTAAGATATGGTTTCAACAGGCGCCGGAATACGTCATCAGGCAGACTTTCTAACTGACTGACTAAGCTCTATTTTGTTGACTCACGTCAAAGTTTCACGGAATCCTCCCCACATTGTGCATTAAATTGGACATAATCATGGATAAATGACCGCACTGCGAAAAATATGTTAAATGGTCAAAACTCGTCCTAGTTGAAGGGAAAAAATAAGTTTCAAGATAAAGATATGGACAGTAGAGCTTAATTATGCCTTCTTCCCTTGTAGTTATTTTCTTTTACTTTTCCGAGAGGGTTGCGTGACAGCATGGAACCTTCTTGACATACTTGACAGTTTCAGTGTTGGTTGCCCGGGGCTGATTCCACTGACTCTTCATTCTTACTAACCGAGCTTTGTTTCGCGTCTATAAGAACAAACGGTCATTGAAATGAGAGGTGCCTTAAGCGTTATGAGAAAGTTCGTTCTGAGCTTATGGATGTAGTAGCTTTGGTATTTTGACCTCATTTAAGTCTATACCTCTCTATACATTCCCAGGAGTACGTTAATCAGTTTTCTTTTTCCTATTTAGACTTTTTAGGCGTGGTTTACAGGCACTCGTGTTTCATTTACAATTTTCGTATTGGGGATGTCTCATAACTTATAGAGGCTTATGTATGTCTATGACACGAGCATTCAGAAATATCATTTTAAAATTGGCTTAATCTAAAAGCTTGGAACCAAAGGTATATATTAGTAGAGGCAACCAAAAGCATATTGAGTTAGACCGCAGTGCTAACAAACTGTCCGGTTCAATAACCAATCGTGCTGCGGAAACGACAAATAATCACCGCAATCCATCATTAAAACCTTACACACTAAACATCGTAGGTGCTTCTAGATCTATCTCGTCAAGGTTGATATCACTGACAGGACGTAAAACGGGACCACTTAACTGTCAGTTATAGTCAAGACACTCGATGAAACCACACCCTCGTGGCAAGAGGTTGTGGTTTCATCGAATACGGTAGAACCTCGCTAACTCGAACTGCCAAAGGAAACGAGAAATGGCTCGAGTGATCGGGATTGGTGTTGAATTTCAATTATCCTGTTCATGATTTTAATTATTAACAAATCATGTCGTTGTTTACTATTTGGTTTGGGAAGTTTAGCTGATTTTACGTCTTCATACATGTTATCAAGTTCATTTCAATCGCTATTAAGATAGGGACGGGTCATCACTTAGAAGTTTATCGACTGACATTGTCACCTAGATTCAAATTATCCGGGTAAACTTGAGCGAATAAAAATTAAAATTAGTTCTAGTTAACGTACAGGCGACCCAAGCGTACTGTGAGTGATTTTGGGGTCTAAAGGCCGTTAATAGGAATACCTTACACAACACGCGGTACAAAGAAGTCGCCAAAATAATAGCGTTAAACGATCGTAAGTGGCAAAACGGCTACGGAATAAAGATAAGGAGATTTAACACGTTATATTTCTCGCTTTTATTATCCTTTTTATTTTTTATTTATTTATCTTATATAATTTTACCTTTTTTCACGGGAAACGCTTAAAATTAAATCTTAAGATGTTAGGTATTCCCTTCAATGACCTTTAGACCTCAAAATCTAACACATGACGCTTGGCGCATTTGGAGTTAGCTGATAGTAAATGACTGATTTCAAATCGAAGTGTGTATTTTCAGAACTGGCTTTTGAAAGTTATACTTAGCTTGCGAATCCATTGCTGCCATTGCACTTGCTTTCATGGTTGCAGTGTAATTTTATACTGGTCGAATTAACTAAATACTTCAACTCGAGTGATATATTTTGGTCACCTGTATTTCTCTATTATTCATTTGATGTTGAAATTATTTATACGCTCTCGTAATTCTCGTTAAACCCAAGGAATTTTAGAGGTTGTGTCTTGAAACGAGATGGAAAATGGCATATTTTGCTCTGAAATAGGATCAGGATTTTGAGAACCAGGTAGCGAACCCCTTTTCATGATCCCTCTCCCCCTGGGGAACACTAATACCTTGAACCAACCTGCAGGGTCTCTTTGGTCAGTTGTGCCTGTCTATCGTTCTCCTCTTGTTCCTGTCATTTCGTGCAAAAAAGAAGAGCAGTTTTCACTTAATCTTCTGTACGCACTACTGTTCTTAAGTCTCCCTATAGCTGGAAAGTAAAAATGCCCGAAAGAAACGAGGACAGGAGCAGATAATGCCCCACCTTTGACTTGTTTGAAGCTGCCGATTCCTCTAGCTG